CTGACAATATTAAGGCTCCTTTAATTTGGGTTTAATGGGGATGTGATGTAAAACACAAAGTTCACGTAGCCTTAAATCTACCTGTGTACAGAGGGATGACTGTATATTCTTTGGTTTTGTTTGTCCTATCTACAGCTACTCTGTCTTCTCTTGTTACTACATTTATTTTTCTGCTCCACACAGTTCAGCCATCTTATATAGAAACTGTTTTTGTCCCCTGCAGCCTCCCATAGTGCTCGCGCCGATCAACTGTACACAAACTGCAGCGCCGCAGACAGAGGAAAACTTGACTAAACCGGAGCCACAAACCACAGAAGAAGATTCACCCCATCACCCGCCTCAAGAAACGCCCCCACCCGAGAAAGACGAAGAGGAAAATAAATCTAACTGAAAGGATGTCTAAGACGGCATTTTACATTTCACTTCATGTTTTATTTGTTGTTGAGTTTTTTTTTCCTACATTGTGACTCAGTCAATGGACATCTGAAGTACGGACTTTAATTTGTACTTGGTGTGAAGGGAAGATTTAAGGAGCTCAGCGCTTTCTGAACGGCTGGCTCAGCGGGGCGCCGGGATTGGACCACACGAGGTTGAGGCATTGAAACCGACAAACACACCAAGTATAAAACCTGCACAGCAGCCCCGACACCTTCTTCTATCAACAGTCTGTGCCACCTAAAGGGAATGAAAAGCCAAATGTGGAAGCTGCACAAGCTGTTAAACACGAAATACTCCTGTGACACTGTGGTGAGGCTCTTATCAGCTGTAAAGGCCCAGTCACACCAGCGTTCAAAACAACAACTTTACGGCAAAATCACCTTTCAGTGGCATCACTGCTATTAGAAGATTTACTCACACATGCGAGGTAAACCTAAAGAATTTTTTCAACTTTGGTAAACCATCATTTCTTATTAGCTGTGCTCCATCCACTTTTATTTAACCTCCTCTGATGGAGTATTAAATGCTCCACAAAGGAGGAATGGTTTACAGACCTTTTATGTAGAGCTGCAGCTACTTGACAATTGAAAGAAATTAACCAGCATCTATTGTGATAATCTAATAATTGTCATTTTTAAGCCAAAGATTTGCAGGTTCCAGCTTCTCAGTTGTCTCGTACATGAAAATAAACTAAATTTATTTTGGTTTTAAATTGGTAATCAGCTTGGGCTCTAAGAAATTATAAAAGGCATTTTATATTTTCTGACATTTCATAGAGAAAATTATTAATTGAGAATTGGATAATTGTCATATTAAACAGTAAATAATCATTAGCTGAACCCAGTCTTGGAAGTGTGTGGCCAAAGTGCAGTTTTGGAACTCAACAGCTATCGGCTGACAACGATAAAGCCTCTGGGGGCAAGGGCCAATATTTCAGGCTGTTTCGTTGTAGCCAGTGGACTTCCTTTTCTCTGCACCAGTCATTTTAGCGAGTCTATATAAACCGATATCTGCATGTGGATGCATATTAATTTGAAAAAGTAAAGCAAAATCATTGTCGGACGATAGCCGATGGGTTCTAAGATTGCGCTGCACAGATTATTTATCTGCCCTTCAAACAAAATTGTTCAATACTGCTCGGACGACAAGATGAAATCAGGACACCTCCGATACCTAACAAATTGTCCTGTTCAGTCCTTTATAGAGATTAGTTGCAATGCTACAGTGTTGGGACAGGAGGCAGTGGTACAAATATGAACTAAGGCTTATTTCTCTTTTCAGTAACTGTTGTACAATCCTGAGAATAAAGTGCTGGGGGAGTTAACGGCCCAATACAGACAAATAGAAAGACAAAACAGCTCTAGCATGTTTCAGGCTGGCCAGTGTTTTGAGGTTAGCTCACCCGATACAGTAGTTTACCAACCAGCCCAGCAAGCTTCACCAAGTTCCTATGACCAAATATTTCACTTTGTCACTTTCTGGTGTGACAGGGCCTTAAAAAGGTCTCAGGAGGCTTGAAAAACATTTTTCAAAAGCACACACATACACACACTACATAACAAGCCATTCTAGCTGTCTTTAACCCCTCGTTACATTATAAACTGCACTGGTGTCACAGTATAAAGTATAGCAGTGATAGCAGTGATGCCAGCAGAGTTTCACACCCTTAAAAATGTGTTACGATTGTTGACTGAGCCAAAGCTATTAGGTATTTGTTTTTTTAACTGAAGCATTTGTTGTTTACTCATCTTACTTTTGGTATATATAGTTTTGCATGCTATAATTTCGGTTTTACCCTTAATATGAAACCAGTGTATAATCTATAGTGCAGACTCTGTATACATCATCGGTGGTGCAACAGTGAAACGTTGGCTGCCACAGTTTTGCTGCCCCTCAGTAGTTATTCATGTTGTCTTAAGAGTTGGTTTTGGCCTTATTGTGTCCATGTCGGGAGGTAAAGTAGAATGTGTCAAGTGTAAAAGTCTCTTTATGAAAAACACAAGAACTCTAAATGATGGTGTGCTGCAGTCAAATGTCAGGCTGAGGAGCGAGCGATGGGTCATGTACCAATATTCCTAGGTTAGTTTCTTCGAAGCATTTGCACAATATTTTTTTTTAATTCATGGGCTGACAGAAGCTGTTGTTGGCTGATGTCTGTATATGTTTATGTATAGTCATAAAGGGTTTAAAGAAACTGAAAGCAAGGTATCAATATATACAAGATTCCTCATGCTTTTATTTTGAAAGTCCATTTCTGACCTGAGGGTTTCATCATAAACACCAGAGGCCGGCAGTCACTCCACTCTGTACACCAGAAGTACATCCACAGAGTGGATCCACAGAGTGGATGTACTTCTGGAGTGGATGTACTTCTGATCCTCATTCATTTATGATGCCTGTTAACCAACATTCCTGTTCAAAAGTTGAGAAGATCAAAATAATTTGGTCAGAGGTGAAATGAGAGCAGCGTAGTTGTCTGGATGTGTGCCCTCGCTGATTCAACAGCAGTGTTTTCCAGGACATGAGATTATTCATTCACCAGTATAGTTTGTTGTCACCAAGTGGTTTTTAAAGCCTCTGTTGAGGAATACATATAATAAAGAAACATTGTATTTGATATTTGGTGTGTTCTGTTTTTCTTGCACATTATTACATTTGACTAAAACTCTACAGGTTTTGTGATTTCTTTGACAGACTTCTCAGCAGATTCAGACAGGATGCTGTCTGTGGATATGTTGATGCAGAACATGATTCAGACCCTTGCAGCGGGTACAGAGTCTGAATGCATCTTTTCATTGTGGCCCTCCAGCTGTGAAAAAGGTCTGCTGCTGTTCAGACTCTGCAGAGATGAACAGCAGTCTGACAAAGAGCCTCTCTGTTGCTCCAGCTCAGTCACTCAGCGTGGAGGGCTGTTGATACACTGCATCACTATCTGATCCGCTAACATGCTTTTAGTGGATGGGTGCATTTGTTATTGGTAGCCCTGCTGGAATTCAACTCTGCACACTTTGACAGCTTGGAATTTACATCCTCAGTTTGGACCTGAATCTGATCTTTTGAGAGTCTGTGCAGATATTTTGTATTGAAGCTATTGATTGCTGATATTTTTTGACAGGAGTATATGAGACATCACATATGCTAATAGCATTTCTCAGGGACCAACATATGAACTTGCCAACCCTCTCAATTTTCCCTGGAGACTACCATTTTTCATTGCCGTCATGGTTTTCTCACAGGGACACAATTGGCCAGAGACATGTTTTTGGGTGGTCTGTCCATCCATCAGTCCCATTCTCATTAACATGATATCTCTAAGAATGCTTCAGGGAATTTCTTCAAATTTGGCGCAAACGTCCACTTGGACATAATGATGAACTACTCAATTTTGGTGGTCAAAGTCCATCTCATTCTTGTGAACAGAGTACCTCAAGAACACCTCGAGGAATTTTTTCAAATTTGGCACAAACGTCCCCTTGGACAAGGGTGAACTTATTACAATGTGGTCGTCAAAGGTCAAGGTCACTGTGACTTTGTCTGTGGAATTCTCATGAAGGCGATATCTCAAGAAAAACTTGAGGGCAGTTTCTTCAAATTTCACACAAATGTCACTTTAAAGTAACCTGGAAATCCAGATGCCCCGCCCCTAGCAAATTTGAATTTGCACTGCATGGGAACCTGGCCCTGACGAGCAGAGCTCGCTGAATCGCCAATCGGACCAATCAGATCAGTCTATCTGACACAGGCGGGCTCTGGGCGGGCATAACATGATGACAACAGCGCTGAGCCGCAGGAGTTGAAAAGTAAACAGCCAAGATGGCAGCTGTCGAAGGACGCGTCCATTCAATTTAGCTTTGGAAGAAACGCTAAGCCAACTACACTTATCTTTTTCCTTGAGAGAGGAACAGAAGACTGCCCTAGAAGCTTTCGCTTCCAGGAAGGATGTTTTTGCGATTTTGCCGACGGGATATGACAAAGGCATAATATATCAGTTAGCCCCACTGTTCGGCAAACAAATGAGGCTTACTGCAATGAATACATCACCTTGTTTTTTGCTCTGATTGGCTATCGTGCTATCCAACTGTATGCAACGGCATTTGAAATGCCTCAGTTAGTGCCACCCCTTGGGTAGGAAGGGTCTATCGGTGAGGGCCAGACTCAAAATCTTTCTAGATTTGAGCCTGGATTTCCAGGCTAACTTTAAAGATGAACTGATTAGAATTTGGCGGTCAAAGGTCACTGTGACCTTGTGTCATGAACACGATATCTTAAAAGGCCTTGAGGGAATTTCCTCAAATTTGGCACAAAAGTCCATTGGGACTCAAGAATGAACCAGTTAGATTTTGGTCATGGAAGGTCAAGGTCACTGTGACCTTGCAAGACATGTTTTTGGCCATAAGTCAATAATTCATACACTAATCATGACAAACTTCACTTACACAAATGTCTAGGATAAAATGACTGAATCACTTGTAGTTTTAAGTCAGCTCCACTTAAGTATCTTTAAAAGAAAATTAGGTTTTCCTCAGTCACACCAAGTCAATCAAAAAAAAAAAAAAAACCTGTCAAGTCAACCCTCTTTTTATTTAATGACCTATTAGGTGGGATTTGGAAGATGGAACAAAAAGAGACAGCGGTCAGTTATAGTGTTAAATTATACCAGAACATTATTTAACATGGAACATCACTGAGAAATAATTCTCTTATATTATCATAAATGCTTCCAGTAGCTGTCTGGCTGTAAACTAAAACAACCCTGCTGATACTGAGTCACGGACCGCCACTGTCAGCCAAAATGTAGTTCCTTCCTCGTACCCTGTTAAGTTATGATTTGATTATAAGACATACTGTACAACAGGACAAAGTTCACGGTTACCTTGATTCGTTATGAAATAAAAAGTATGGCACCTCATATTTAAACAGATGTCAAAGTTGGCAAATCTACAGCTTCCTGTCACTGCACTTATCATTCATTAAATTAAAAAGAGTTAAGACACGAGTGCTAAATGGTTAAAGACAACCTACTTTCATTTAAAATAAAATGATAAAAAAACTCAGAAAAGTCTTTGGCAGTAAAATGTTTCTCAGTGTCATTTTTTTAAACCTCTAACACAAATGTACACATCCTTATAAAACATGTCCATGAGTGGTTACTTTTTTCATGTTCTGCTAATCTGAATGCAAACAGCTGGTTTCCAGTAATAAAACATAATAACAGCGATTTTCCTCTTCATGCTGTACACACCTGGATGTCATGAAGTCATGTCCAAAGTATTTTAACAGCTCCATCACTCTCTCCATATGTGTGAGTCCTTTAACAGCTCCATCAGTCTTTCCATGTTTAAAAGTCTTTATGATGGCAAAGGCCTTACCCAAACTCCAGTCTGTCGTTTATGATTAAAGGAATATTTCCTTCTCTTTGCCCATCTCAAGAACTTCTTTGGGAAAAGGAGGCGGTGGGGGTGGAGTCTCGTTGCTGCTCCTCTTGTTTGTGCTGAAGGACTGAGATATTTTCACACTGTGGGCAGAGTCTGGTTGGTTGAAGGCACCTGAAGGGACAATGAAATAAAAAATATATAATTCAGCTATCTTAGGTGACACCTGACAGTTTAAGACAATTCTCTCCTCCCACCTCTGGCACTGCACATATGATCTTCTTATCCAAGTAGATGTCATAGTAAACAAGCATACATATCAAAATGTCAGAGAATTACTTTAAAGAGGACTTATTATACTCATTTTTAGGTTCATGCTTGTATTCAAGGTTTATACTAGGATGTGTTAACATGCTTTGATGTTAATACGTCCTTCTGGTGTCTGTGCTGGAACACGTATTCACCCTCTGTCTGAGACGCTCTGTTTTAGCGTCTGTCTCTTTAAGTCCCCCTCCAGAAAAAGTCCAGTCTTCCATATCTCTGCATCTCTGCACGGTTGTTGCAGTGTAATGCAGAATAGCGGCACTTTCTAGCTTGAAAAAATCACCAATAAAGGCTTCCAAACATAAACAGACATGTTCCAGCAAGAATATGATCCGCAGTCAGGGAGAAATTCACAACATCAGCAACCAAGATTACATGTTTCCCTGATGTTAGCATGTAGCTTCATGAAGAAGAGGAGACAGATGAGGTCACATAGACCTGACCTTTGACCTTTAACCACTAAAATATAATCAGTTCATTGGTAAATCGAAGTGGATATTAATGCCAAATTTGAAGAAATTCCCTTGAGGTGTACTTGAGATATCGTGTTGATAAGGATGGGACGGCCATGGCTATCACTGGTGTGGACGCATAGAAATGTTGGAAACTGAGTGTTCAAAACAAGTGGCAACCTCTGGGACTGAAAAATTAGCCAACACTGAATGGTCACTTGAGGCTGGCTCCAGAAGCCAGTCAATCTCCACAGACCCCCATGTTAAAATGCCCAACTTCACAGCAGAAATCAACATGTTTACAGCCTGGTAGAAAACATGGTTTTGGTCTCTATCGTTTATTTCTCCCTTCATGGTAACTGCACAGGGGGTGAATTTTTATATAACTCGCCCATTTATATTTTGTTAAGGTTTAACGTTATGCATAATTAAGGGCGGGCCACTTTGAGTGACAGGGAGGGACTGCTGATCATGTCCTCAGTTTCTCAGTCAGACAGAAATATATCTCTTCAATCTTTTCCTGTTTTTCCCCATCATCATAAAACTAGCTTGCACTCACAAACGTCTTCATATTTGGTAGGTTGCAGATTCTCCACCTTGGGGAGCTGCTCAGTCACTAACCAGTTCTACACCTGCCAACCTGCACCACATACAGGAAGGGAAAGGAATAGCAGCAGCAGTTTTCCAGTTGCAGATGTAGACATGTTAGAAGTTGCTGCAACTGCAATTTTGAGGTTTTCACACTTGTATCAGCTCTTGGCTGAAATATTAGAATTACTCACAACAGAACATGATTGTGTCATACTAACCTCTCTATATATCTCTATGACCAAGACTTTAATTGATTCAGTATTTTCACTTGACTATCATACAAGCTGAGCTTAGAAATCAGTTCAAAAACACCCACGTTTATGGTTCAATCACTCAACAGTAAAACAGACCTTTGTCAACCTACATTGCTTTTATAGTTTAGTTTCTTTTCCTTTCGCTTTGGGAGAGTGGTTTAAACATTTTTTTTTAATTTCAATTTATTTTTTAAGCCTTGCATCCCTCTTGTTTTCTCTGATAAAGAAAACTGCAATCCTTTATGGCCAACTTACAATTCTACAGGGGGTGGTGGGTGTTTGTTTCTCAAAAATACTTTTAAATAGACTATCAGTTCAAATCACATGTGAATATCCCAAATGGGAGACAAATGTCTAAGTGACTGAGTGAGAGGCCATTTCTGTTTGATTGTCGGTACCTGATTGGTAGATCCTTTGAGGACTGTTGTTCCTCTTGGCTCTCAGACTGCCTCCTTCTTTCCCGGTCACTCTGATGGGCAGCACCTGGCTTACGTCTAAACCAGCTGGATGTAGAAAGACAGGACTGGGGTCAGTGTTGTAACTATGAAAGCTGACGCACTAACCACTAACTAATCTTTAAGACATTTAAATCTGATGGCTGATTTAGCTTATTATCACTGTTGTGCAAAAACTAGGCCCACTGCTGATGAATAGTGTTTTCTAAAAGTTTCAGTTGCTGCTAAATGTTTCAAACCAACATATAATAAATAATATGACAGTTTTGTTCATTAAGGAAAAGAAGAACATCTGCTCACTTACTCCTTGCCACAAAAGTATTATCAAGACATTTTGATCCTGCTTGAATCTTCATCAGGTCAAAATGTTCACATGCTTTATAACAATCATTTTAAAACTCGTTATTGAAAAAGAAAATGTACAACCATCTAAAAATCAAGTCAACCCTTGAACTTAAACATGTTAGCAGGCCTGTATCCTGACCTGCACTGTGCGTCCTCTGGTGGGACCCCTTTGTCTTGAAGCCTTTCTCCTTTCCTTTGGGCTGAGCAGCCAGCTTGGTGGGGATCTGCTGCTGCACGGGGGCAGGCTTGTACTCCTGGTTGGTGGTGCTGATCAGGTGGACGGGCAGCTCAGGCTTGACCGGCATGGGGCTGATGCTCTCCCTGCGCGGTGGAACCTTTGGAGGAATTTCACTGGCGTTGGTGGGCAATATTTGGGTCTTTGGTGTTAAGGTTCCACCTCCATTCACTATACTCCCCCTGAACGACTGGTAACTGGAGAGACTCCAGGACTGGGGAGGAAGAGCACACATAAATTCAAACTCTGCTATTTCAGAACCTAATTACCTGATCTCCCCTTTGTGAACTTTAACTACTGACTCTAGTGCTTCTTTTGGGGATTATCTAATTTACTACAACATTCTAATACTTTACTTAATTTTTCTTAAAATATTTAAATCACATTTAAAATATGTTTTAAATGTACTTAAGTCAATGCCATTGTTGAGTTCATCTATTGTCACACAGACCTGTTGTTGCCTCCCTAGATTATACTTTGTGATGAACAGATAAATACACAATAATGTTAATAAATATTCAATCAATAAGATTCTCGTCCTCTTCCTCACTTGTGAAGGATCATCATAGTATCCTGGGATGTACTTCTTTATTTTCTCCTGCAGCTGCTCCAGACGCTTCATCTCCTGATTCAGACGCTCCTTGTCCTTGTCCACTGATTTTGTGGACTCCCTCAGCCTCTCCAGGTCCTGCTGATAGTCCTCCTTCAACTTCTCCAGCTCAGCCCTCTCTTCATTGAGCTTCTCCTCCCACTGTCGGCAGTCCTCCTCCCTCTGTTGCAGCTGAGCCTCCAGCGCCTCGATCTGCATCCTCTGTCGCTCCCTCTCCTTCTCCCAGCGCTGCTGCTCCTCTTGATGCTGCGCCTGCAGCTTGTGCAAGTTGGCGAGTTCCTCCTTCTGCTTCTTCAAGTTGCGCTGCTTCTCCTGCTCCAGCAGCAAGCTGTTGTAATGATGAGCGCGCTGCTTGCTCTTTGTCTGGAAAGCGTGCTGCAGCTCAATCTGGCTGTCCTGCTGGGTGATGATTGCCTGGACGTTGAAGGATTGAACACAGGAAAACACTCAATTTATTGCATTCAATTATCTCTACTAATGTAGCTTAAGACCAAAAATTCAAAGATTTTTTTTGCAAGAAACAATTTACAATGTCTTACTTCTAGGCTGTACAGCCTCTGTCCTAGCAATATCACTCTATCATACACCTACAGAGAAAAATAAAGCACACAGAAAGACTTGCAGTGACAGATACATATTTCTGTACAAGTGACTACAGATAGTAATTAACAGAATGAGTATTAAAAGGGTTACCTCTGCCTCAGGTACATTACTGGAGGTTAAATTGCCGTCTGGCATATCGTCATCAGCCTGGAAGCAAAATAGCACAAGTAATGTAAATACTTAATGTTTTATCACAAAATGGAAATAGGGATTGGATCCTTTACATCTGTCTCACTCACATAGTGTTCCAGGGCCTCACAGCTGTGACTCTTGTGGAACTGAGAGTCAGTATTGTCGAAGCTGTGAGTGATGTACACCAGATTGCCCTCACTGCCGCCTGGCCTCTCAGCTGCATCTCCATCTAAAAGAATGAAATCAACAAAGTCAATAGCCTTCATGTATTCAACATGAGTAGAGTCACCTATTTTCTGCAGGTGATATTATTTATTGTACAGGTACAAACAGCAGCAGCAGCTTCTTGCAGCTCAGAAAGATTTAAAAGGAGTTTTGGTGGTGGGAAACCAAAGGCAATGGCTGTTTAAAACAAATAATAAAACACTGTATTATATACCAAAAGTGACCCATATGCAAACTTTCCTGATGTATGATGCAAGAGTTTCAAAGAAAGTTTTGTCAAATTCCCAGACAACCTCTACCACATACATGCATGTCAAAATTTCCTGACGTAGATCCTGTAAGCTGCACATTGAAGAGAACCTTCTGTATTTTTCCTGGACCCTATTTTCCCATGTTTTGTGTCTAAGTGACTAACAATTTTTAAAATTGGTCCAGTATTGAGGCAGACCGCTCCAGCCACAGCAGCGAAACAAGCCGCAGTGTAATCCCTATGGGTAATTATTCACTGTCAATTTAAATCCATTGAAGTGCTTCTTTTTGCCACTGATAGGCTTAGAACGTTATTGCAAGTGTCCGATAACGTAATGGAAAAGACCCTTTAGAGAAATGAAATGTTTCCAAAAAATTAAATGTTCCTCTGTACCTTTCCTTGGTCTGTTTGTTATTGTGACTCAGGAGAAGTCTCTCTAAAATCTTGAGAGAAATGACTTGTTTGAGGAAAAACAACGCTGATAATGTTAGTGAGAGTTGGAGAGAGGAGTGCCAGGAAAAGTTTGTTGTGGTGGAGTACAGAAAGCTTCATATTAACCTCAAAACGTACTGATGTAATGGTTGAATATTTAGCTGGTTTTGACAATGTGGAGAAGAGAATACTGGAACAAGACTTCTCCTCAATCAAACATTGGTTACACACAGTAACAAACAGACTAGATCAGCGAAAGGTAAAGAAAAAACGTTTCATTTCTCCGATCCTTTCTATAATGTTACCAGACACTACTAAAAACAATCTGAGCTTGTCAGTGGCGAAAACAAGCAATTTTAATGGACGGAAATTGATGCTGCACAGCTGCCAGTAGGGATTATATTGCAGCCTGTTGTGCTGCTGTGGCTGCAGCGGTCTTGCTCAGTACTGGGCCAGTTTTAAAACTGCTCTCTCCATTAGCCACTTAGACATAAAAACATGGAAAAATAGGGTCCAGGTTAAAAAACACAGAAGTTTCCCTTTAATAAACAAAACTCATTCTTTTGTCAGCCTGTCATTACATATACTAGCCATGTTTTACTTGGCCTTGTCACTGTCAACACCCTAACGTTAAAATATACATGAAACGAGGTAATGTCACAACCTTGTTAGTTTTACGTCAGCTTACTTTGCATAGTGCTTGCACCAGGGCTACTGTCGACCCCTCCAAAGGTCTGGGCCCTCCTGAGCCGGCCCCCATGTATCTTACTCTCATCCAAAAGAAGGTTTGGGTCTTTAATTCTTGAGGAGAGCAGGTTCTGCAGGTTTTCCACTGCAGACAAAAGAAAAAAACAACTCCTTAATCTCCTCCTTAAAATACGCCATCAGTGCTCTCTGAGTCATGACTTGGCTGTCTGGGAAACAGAGCACAGTTTATTTCACCTTTACTTCTGTATAAATTCAAATACGGACTCTAACCAATGCATATACATACTAAATACTTGCCTAATTATTCCACCCTTGACCACAAAATTATTCCACCCTTGAGTCACAAAACTGAGGCTACCTCTATAAAAACAGAGAGCCGAAACTGTTTTGCCCTTACCCTCATTGATGGCTCCTCTGAGCAGTGTCCCCCCCTGCTGGAGGTCAGTGGCGTCTCCTCGGAGTAGCAGCCCTTTGTGGGGGGTTTCCTGCTCTGTCACAGTCTCGTAGAGAGCAGCAAAGATCTGTTGCTTCTCTGTCAGACTTTGCAGTATCTGGTCATCCCTCATCTTTAGCATATCTAAAGAGACACAGCATTAAATTAACATTATTGTCTAATCAATTCAGTGAAAATGCAGAGAGAAAACAAATGGATTGGACAGCATTGTTCCTCTTGGGGAGCAATACGTTATGGCTCCAACACTGGCAGGGTCTGAAAGTCTATGTACTTGTGATATTTTCATTAACTTTAAATAAAAATGTTCAAATAGTTTTTACCCCTTTTACTAAGTAAGTAAGCTGACTGAGCATGGTGGCCCTTTTCCAATGATTCCTGCTTTGTATAGTGCACATAAACAAGGAAGAACATGAATGCCAATATATACATTTTTCCCATATTTTTAATATTAAAATCAAGTATCTCGGCTCTGATTTTTTTGAAATATATATTTTCTAAAATATCTTGCATTGACATTAATAAAAATCAAAACAAAAGGACAAGACAAAAACATCATACAAAAAAAAACAAAAAATCCCAGACATGCTCACACTGATATTTGTAAACTAAGCTAAGCTAATATTACAGAATGCAACATTCAAACCAACAAGATCATTATCAGGTAGAGCAGTTTGTTGATGTTTCACTTTAGCCTGAAGGCAGCCTTCTCTATTTCTTTATGAAAATCCAACAATATGATAAAGGTTTTTGGCTCACCTGATTCAATCTGTACCCAGTCAAATACCTCAAAACAAATACCTCTCCCTACAAAGGAAATCAGTAGCCACAGAATTACATAATGAGGACCGTTAAGACCCTTAAGTTTGGCTCCCTATGAAAGTGGCTTGCATTTGATTTTTGGCGAAACTCCGTGAAACAGGGACACCAGTGAGCCGTTCGCTATGCACGTGTGGATAGAAAATTTGTGCACTAGCTGGACCATTTTTTGGTGGAAGAGATAATCGAATGAAAGTGTCTCATAGTCGACAAATAATCACATTCTGAATTGTGTGTAAGAGAGAACCACCGGCTGTCTTACCTTGAAAGTGTTGCAGTCTGGCAGTCAGTTCACGGTATAGCTCCTCCTGTGGGTAGCTGATATACACAGACATCTTAGTCAGTATTGTCTATCTAAATTTATATCTGAATTTTGACCTGTCCAAAGATTTCGAAACGGCACATAACTTCCAAATGGATTCACAGACCTGCCCAAGATTGTGTGGAGAGACTGATCAGTAGGGGTGAGTAAGCCCAAAAATTGGTTTTGATCTGACACCAAGAATTATGGGGCCAGAATCACTGATCAATACTTTTTAATATTAAAAGCGGTTTATTTATTTTAATGGAGGGGAGAGCAGTGGGTCGTGATTTACAAGGTGAATTATCACTCTGCTAAAATAACAGCCAATTACAGTTTGAAATGTAAAACTGAGCAACACTGAAGACCTGATTTGACTAAAATATTAATTTCACTACATGGATAATATAGTGTAGTGTATAGTATAGATAATATACATGGATATACCAATATGACTCCTGGAAAATTAATTTAAAAAAAGGTGATGGCCAGATTTTTATAAAATATTTGTAGAGGAATCTTATGCTACGATGCTATGACAACATTTGAGCACATTTATGTTCAAAAGAAAAGGAATCTTTTTCACTTTAGAAAGTCAATGTGATTTTCATTTGCATCATCTCCAAGCCAAAATGTATTTACTACAGATAAGGCTACAAGAATTCCATTAATTGCTAATTGAAGGATGTTTTGCCCCTAAAACAGAACTCAATTATGAGGCTCTTACTTCAGTACTTTGAACTACCACCAGGTAGCAATGCTATTAAAACGGGAAGCTGCAACTACTCTATGAAACATTCATACAGTTGTAATAAGAAAACTGAGTTTCACTTTCCAATAAAACTAATTCTGCTCTCTTCCTATATGACCTCAGCTTACCTGTTCACGGCTTCCCTTATCAGCGCTGTCCATGTTATGCATTCCTCTTGGGAGCGTGTGTGAATCTCATACATCTCAGGCATGCTGACGGTGCATGCACAGATAAGGTATATGGCTTTGCCCTCATGAGCCACTTCCCTGACTATCAGCCTTTGAAGGGAGATCACTGGCGGTTTGTTCTCCTGCAGGAGCCACGATAACACAGCAAATGTTATTATTATTCAAATAATTATTACAATCGGTCCTAGATTATTACATCATATCATTTCAAGTCTATTTTATTATTATCATTTGTAGTCCATCATCACAAATCAGAAATCTGCCTAAAAGGACTTTTGATATATGTGTCAAGATTTGATGTACCTTGATACAATAATAAAAAGAAGTCTGTGTCTTAGACTGAAAGGGATAGTTTGGATTTTTTTTTTTTTTAAATAGGGTTGTATGGGGTACCTGTCCACAGTCAGGGTATTACTTACAGTAAATGTCAGTTGGCACACGTCTAATGTGGAGAAGTAGGCAGGAGTTCGACATGGAAGCTAAGCAACTGCTGTGGATGGGGGTCAACAACAAAATGCATTTTGAGCCACCTACAAGAAGGCCCACTTAAAACAATCAGTAATAGTGTAACTCTACATTATACTGAGAGTATTTTCACTGCTTAACCTTTCTGTTAGACAGCCTATTTTGATGGGGAAACTGTTATTGGCTTCAGTTCCCCATCAGTGCCCTCATCAAAGCCACCAGACTCCATTGAGAAAAACAGTCATTTTAGCTCACTGAGCACCGGAGCTGCTCGCCTTCCACTTCTTCGATCAGTTAATTAGGTTGTGTTACTGTGTGACTTTGGTGAATCCGAAATAACCCTTTTAAATGCCAAAGTCACAATATAACACAAACTAACTGATCGAGGCAGCAGTAAACCAGCAGCTCCTGTGTTCCATGAACTAAAATGACTGTTTTTGTCAGTGGCTTTGTAGAGATCAATATAACAGCTATATTTTCCAGTTGGAAGTCACTGTCTGACATTAACTTAACACAGTGGAAATATTCTAAATATAGTGTACACTTAAAGTGATACTGATTTTTATTTATTTCGGCAGGACTTATTTTAGGTTACTGAAATACTTTTTGTTGCTGACCCCCATCTGCAGCAGTACATTGCTTAACTGCCATGTTGTACTCCAGCCTGCTTCTCCAAACTGGGGGCGTGCTGACTGACACCTACTGTATGTAATATACCGTCTATAGATAAGTACCCCATATAACCCCACTTCAAAAAATCTGAACTTTAATACTGCTTCTGTCCATGTAGAAAAACTGGACAAAGATATAAAATGGTTATGTAAAAATAATACAGTGGGGAGTGAAAAAAATGCACGTTGGGTGGAACTCACCACAGCAGCAAAGACGAGCTTCTGATCTTTCTCTTGTAAGAGGAGGAGCACGTCTGACAGCAGCACAGCATGGATGTCTGCAGGGAGACATAAACGTTTCTCAGCATCGAAACAACAGAAGAGCATGATGTTGTGACTCAAGCTGTCATGCGAGGTGGACTTGTTTTGTAACTGTTAATAATTGACATCCCAATAATGACATGAAGATATGCTGCTCTACTGGCTCTCTGAGTATTTTGGATTTGACAATAGCAATTTGGCCCGAAGTTGAACCTCATATTAAAACACTAAGTAAACAAGTATCAACAAATGTTGTTGCTATAATACTGCAGTAATCCACTGAGCTATCAGTAACTTGAAGCATCTTCCTTTAAAGTGTCATCAAAATCAGACCATTGCGCACACTTTGGTTTACAATTTGAACTGTGGTGACCCCATCAGGGCAGTGTGAAAGAGTAGTTCAAAGAGAAATTTGAAGACACAAAGAACCATAAAAATTGCTGTAATTACTGTAACTTTATGTCTTGTTCCACCTTCTTATTTATTTATTAATTTGTTTATTAGACAGGGACAACACTGCAAGCATTGTTAAATGCAGATAAAAAATACAATGTATGTAGGGCACTAACGATCTCGGCACAACACATAACCACGTAATAAATGTGTCAGTTAATTATCATCTCTTACGCATAAGGAAATAAAACTGTGTAATAAGCCAGGTAATGCTCTGAATGAGCCAAGTCGTCAGGGAGGTTGTTCAAGTCTGATTAGCCTATGAACAAAATATTCATAATGTAATTCATTGAAGAATTGTTTCCACTGCAGTGCAGGAAAACCACACTGAGCATCAGACCATTAGTCTCATTAGTTTTCAGCTTATATTTTCAGCCGTAAGCCGGGCTGGGCGATATAGCTTAAAATAACATTGTGATATTTTTACGCAATATCATGATACTCATTATATATCTTGATATTTTGAAATCTCAACTAAAGTACTGTAGACTTCTAAAATACAAAATGAATTATTACAATAAAGTTAAATGAAGTAGCTACTGTCATATAATAAAGTTAAAAAAAAATACTGTTATAATCAAGGTGAATAATGTATTGTTATAGTTTCATTTTGAAGCAGCCAACGCGTCTCAGGCTGGAAGTGTTGATTGCTTTTGCTGTGAACTTGACGCCTCTGGTTAACAGTTGTTTTTAGCAGAACATTAAACTGTTAAAGCAGTACCTTTAAACGTGACTTTATATAACTGTAAGCTGGAAACAAAATCAGAGCCATAGGAGAGAGCAAGAGAACTGAAACGCTGAAGCAAGTCTCAAAAATGATGTGAAAATTTATACTCTCTATTTGCGATATAGTCATTTTATACATACCACTTGGAGCAAGCTGTGATACATCCAATATTATAGATAAATCGCCCACCTCTAGTTGCTGGCCATAGAACATCTAGTAAACATTTTACCTGTGATCTCAATGGTCATTAGCTATGCCAAAAACAAATGGTCACAATGTCACAAACCTTTCTGTCTACCGGAGGTCTTCAAGGTCACGGCTCCTTCGTGCAGCAGTGTCCTGTTTCCCTGGAGCAGATCCTCCCTGCGGAGCACCCGGCCGTCCTTCAGCCGGCCCTGAGACTTTGGTTCCAGGCGCTGGCCGATCTCTCTCAGGCGAACAACTTTCTCATATTCACAGACCTGAGCGTTCACCTGGGAGATGGTGTCTTTAATCAGCATCAAACCCTGTACCAGAGACTTGTATTCGTCTGTGTCAGCTGAAAGGAGCACGAAACACATTAATCTACCAGTCTCTATTTATAAATATGAAAAGATTTTATATATTGGATTATTTGTGTCACCAACAAATCGAATTTCAGTGATTTCAGTTTGTCACAGGCTGAGGACAGAATGTAACAACTATAAAGATGTGTTGAGATGCAGGTAAGTGATAAGAGGTGAGATTTTACCTTCAGTGTTCTGTATGATTCGCTCCACCAGTACGGGATATTTTGTGATGCGTTGAGTCACCAACAGAAAACATTCAGGGATACCCAACCTTCGCACCAGGGGCAGCTGACCTATTTTCTGTTGAAATAAAAAAAAAAGAAAAGCTTTTGTTTTTGAAGACTCGCATCATTCCTCTCAGGTTAAGTATCTCAGAGTGTTTTCTTTTTGTTAGCTGCATCATTCTTTGTAGAACGTCTCGTAGATACTGCTACTGATTCTCCAGGCATGCAACTAATTCACTTTAATTTCTTGTTTTGGAAATTCCAGTGCATTCATGCTGCAACAACACACAACCACAGGCTTCACTGTGTCTTGAAGAAAATCCTGTCTGTGTGCAACAACTGAACAATGAGTGAGGACTGCTCACCCTCACGAGGATCTGAATTTTCTTGTTGTTCTGCAGCTGCTCTTTGTAGAAGCTGATGGACTCATTCTGATGACTGCAGAACACACTGTACCACTCCATCATTCCTTCTCCCAGAGCACCTGAAAACTAACAAGAAAAGGGAAAAACATTGAATTTATATTTCTGAAAAGGTTACAATTTAGTGGTTATAATGTTATATTGAAGTTACTGCCAACATAAGACAACTAGAATTACTGCCTTGTGGTTGAATGCCTCCACAAACCTGTGAAGTTTGCATTCATGTCTGTGAAAACATGAATGCTTCACACACATCTTCCCCCCAGTTTCAATATGGGTGCCCAAGATTAGTGTCACCAAGTCACTATCTGATCATATGTCTCCCCTTCTGTTCCTGAGTTATGGCGTTGAATAATGGCCAGGAAAGTGTTTTGCAGAATATCATGATGTCACAGTGAAGTTGACCTTTATCCTTTTGGGTATAAAATGTCATTCACTTCAACATTTTATCCCATCAGACATTTGTGTGAACTTTTGTCAGCTCAGAGGCTTTAAAAAAGATCAACACTGACTAGAACTGAAGGATATCATGGCCCTATGGCGAACAGGAAATGAATCACACACCTGCAGTGCTGCAAATTTGACACTTGTCTCACATGAACTAAACATGTCATTCATGTCACATGTCAGAAACAGTCAAGGTCTGGTCGTCAAGAATTTGGAGAACAAATAAGATAGATAAAATTGCTGCTTTTCAGTTGTGTTTATGTTGTGAAATGAGATAGTAGCATATTCTGATACATTGACTGGGTTTATATAGAAAAGAAAGTGGGTGCTGGTCTTCAGACATACAGTGTATGTCACTGGTGGGTGTAACCCTTTAGAGCGACTTCATCAGAACATCCCACAATTTTCAAGCTTCATATGAGGTAAAGCAAGAACAAGGACTAAATATCATCATTTAAAAGTACTGCCGTTAAGAAAATATCTCAAAGTAAACCTGCTTTAAATTGGTAATATACTGTAGTATGTTGGTATAACAATACTTCATATTATAACACATTTCACTGCACTTACATGACATGGATCAATTACTTGAATGTGCATACAGTATGTTAACAAATATATAGCTATCAATACTGTAGGATATTCTTTTGATTATATTTACATTATACATGTCCCCAATGGGCTGAGCCAAATATCTAAAAATGCAGTTAGAATGACTTTAATGCCCCCTGCTGTTAAAATGTTTGTTTCACAGGTTAAATGATTTTTTTGCAACAACAGAACAATGGAAACTATGAAATTTACTCCTCTTCTCACTTGCAGTGCTACAATAGGAATAATAATTCAGCATAGAAAGCTCTGGTGCATCTGTGCCTCTATCACAACAGTACAAATGCTTCAACTTCCAGGAACATGATGATTTTTTCTGCTCTTATGGAGCACACACCCAGCTGTAGTTGCTTACAATGCATTTCAGACATACCAGCCATTCCTATGGACACCTGTACACTCAGCTGGCACATGGAGAAGGAGTGACAAGGGTGGAGAGAGGTGGATGAAAATACTTAAGATCTGTTTGTTGTAGACCTCAGTGTAGAAATGTAAACATAACATTCAGGAACAGCACATATATACTGAGTAAACTGTGGACCTGAACGTGTTGGGGTATGCAAGCTATATGGCGTGTTTTTTTCTGAGCACCAGCGTGTTTTTTTCAGTTGTTCCATTGAGGACAGAGCATATGCTGCCACATGTCAACGCCTAGAGAAAAAGCAGTGCACCCAACATCTTTCTTTCAGAGTGCTCTGAGTTTTTTGGGCCCCCACTCTGAGTACTAGAGTTGAAAATCTTGGAACTTTTCTCATGCCCCTGCTTTTCTGTCACAAAAATGCTATATGGACACTCGGCTTCAATGCCTTTGAAAGCAACAGTTTTAGTTAAAACCTGAAATAAATAAAAATGTTGTGAATACCACAATCCTTTGTTTTAAGAATATTTACGAACATGAATTTATAATCTTTTTAAACCTTTCTGGAAGTCTAAAGAATAGCCTCCACCTCCCATTAGTTGTTTTGGAGATGACTTAAATGGAAAAGTACCTCTTACTTGTTTTTTGTTGACACACAGGCTTTGCTGGCATTTTTACCTGAACTTGAGTAAATAAGGACATTTCACTTTAAGAAGAAAATAAATACTTCTTTAAACTTGCACTCTACAACTTTGCATGTTTGCAAATCACACTGTCTCTTAAGAAGATCAATTTGATGACTGACTACAATGATTTACACAAAAGCCCACTGTGGCTTTCAGATGACTCTACCCTACCTGAGATATGAGATTATCCCCCAGCTGTGTGATCTGGTAGTTGTTTGGGCTTCCTTCCTCCTGACTTTGGTTTTGGTGCATTTTGAGGCGGTTAAGGAAGAGCTGGTGGAGGGCGAGCAGGTTTTCTACCCCCAGGAAGAGCCGCTCCAGCTTGGCCTCCTCTATCAGCAATGACTGCCTCAACTCGTGCATGTAGACGTGGAGAAGGATTTTTAAGGTGCGCACATGGTGCATCTCTGTCTGGATCAACTCTGGGAAATTGGTAAAGAGGGACACATGATTAACACATCTAAGCTGAGTGCCTGACATGTACAGGAACATTTGTGCCTGAGAAAGATGACAATACCTGCACACTCCTTGCTCAACAGCAAAAGCAAACAAAGTCATGAGGGTAAATAAAGGTAGTCCACCAAAGCCGGAGAAATGTGCTCTCAGGTGAACACAACTGCTGGTGTTATTATACTTATTATCACAGTAGAATTGTTTGACATCCAAAGGTCCTCTGAGTTAAAGATAGCATCCATCAGCATCATAATTACAGACACTGTCATCTCTGCTTAAATAGTGCAATTATGTTTGTACTCTGCCGTCAGTGACCAAAGATACATCTTCTTCAGTGAGTGATTGACATGAGAAAGTTCTGTGTATATATATACACACACATGCACTTTATAAAGATGATATATGATTACTGAAAATATTTTTAAGATTGTTTATTTATAGATTTAGCTGGTTAACCCTACCATAGATGACGTCCTGTCTCTTAACAGCCTCTTTGTTCAGGGCCTTCAGGTAGTTCTGGTCCACAGCCACGCTCCATGACTCCGCCTCCAGGTTCTGGTGGTCGGAGTCGATCTCGTCTCGCAGCACGGCATAATGGGAATCTGGATGACACACAGACAGTCACACAAGGATTTGTATCATCCATACAAGGCTTGTGCTTTGTGGTCACATGAGTATGTGTCTCAGTGATTCATTACAAGTCATGTACATGTTATTTTTAAACATTGTAATATGGTCTTGCTTTTGTGGCAAAATGTTCTTTAAATGGCACCAGGTTATAATCATGTCATACTGTTTCATTACTTACAAAAATAGAGGAAGGATTAAGTCAACAAAAAGAAAATATAACTGCTGCAGAGGCTTCTGACTGCAAATTCTGGGGACATATTTATCTTTAATATCTTCAATAAAGATAATCACAATTTTGCATTCATGAAAAATGTTGTCATTCTTATTTTGAATTCCATGGCAAGATGATATTTGTCAAATCCCTGTACATAGAATGTATGTATTCTGAAAGGTACAATCTCCAGTAACTCGGTTATGTTCTCTTTGGTGGCACCTATAATGATAACCAGTAACTGCAGTGTGTTTGTCTGCAGACTGAAGCGCAATCCAATTTCTTCTTTCTACCCCCACCCCTCGTTTTTGAGTGCCACCTTACAAGGGGTAATGGTTCAACCCTTCAAGACCATGATACATCATCAGTAGTCGCAGATGCTGGTGATTACGCAAATAGACGTGTTGAGTGTTGCCGGTCAATGCAAATATGCCGTCTTCTGCTGTGGTGAGTTCTTTTGCGTGGGCTATAGGCATCCCTTTGCTGTTGTCAAGATGTTTGTCCACAACCTAAGTTCACTCTATCAATCGATCGATCAAACAAGTCATCAACACTACTTCATTACCAGGCTGCTGGCGGCACTCTGTAGGCTAACATTAACAACACACCCAACCTAACCTTTTTTTTTTTGCTCTTTTGGTTTGCTGTTTTGCACTCTTGATTGTATTTTCCTGCACTTTTTTGTCTGCCTGTAAAGTGTCTTTGAGTTTTTGAAAAGCACTCTATAAATAAAATGTATTATTATTACCCTGTCAGTCTGCACAGATATTAGAGGAGCACTTTACAAGTGAAGCAACTTCGCTGCTGAACTTTTGGCACTATATGCCAAATCTGGGGTACGACATGAAATATGTCTAAATGCAGGGCTGTCATGCAGGGCTGTCATGCAGGGCTGTCATGCAAAACAATGTAACATTAGCTAGCTAATTAGCTACCCAGACAACTGTTGCTATAAAGAAAATGACCATAATATATTTAAACAACATTGAACTAAGATAATGCAATGCCTATTGTAATCTTTAAATCCTCATCAACAAAACATTACATTTGTGTGTTTCTTTTGTTGCTTGTTCAGCATCTTGCTGATGATTTCTCATAACACTTGCTTTGGAGTGTGCCTCTGATAAACCTCCATCTGAAGGGCCATGTAGCCCCTACACTTGACCCTATCTTTCTATCCCAACCAGAACTGGGAAATCCTACAGCTCGAAGTGAACGCACAAAATGAAGGGTAAGGGTTAGGTGGTAGGGGCAAGGAGTTACCACAGCATAGACGGTGTGTGTGCATGTGTGTGTGTGTGTGTGTGTGTGTGTGTGTGAGAGAGCGGATCATTAAAAACTGTGATTTTTCCCCAGGAATGTCGTCAAACACACCTAGTTCATAATACTGTAAATGCCATGGTTTTCATCAATGAGCCAAAGGCTCAAACACCATTGTGTCTTAAGTGACTTAACAGACATTTATTTAAATAAAAATCTTTGAGATTATTACTTTAAAAATAGCTGTTTAAATTGTTTTGGGATACTGAATGAATTTACTTTTTTTGTACACTGTCCCAAGTACAAAATGTTTGCGTGTTTCACTGCAACAAAAGGTACGGGGTGCTTTCAACAGCTCCTCACCCTGCTGACAGTGACCCACTGACCTTCTAGGTTGATGGGCTCAGCCAAGGAAGATAGCGACAGGGAGTCTTCAGCAGAGGAGTGCTTCAGTCGCAGGCCATCAGTCTCATCCATCTGCACCGCACCAGATCTAGTTGATGTGTGATGAGATAAAGCTCAACAGGTAAAAGTGATGTCAGTGCACAATTGTGCAAACACACACACACACACACACACACACACACACAGACACACACACACACAACACGCACTATTTAAGTGTTCAGACTGTTGCCTAAGTCAATATCAACTCCAACAGCCTTCATCAGACTTGGATATTTGATCTTATCTATCTGATGCAGAGTGTAACACCACCTTGATGTCAAAAGGAGAAATACCAGTAAAAACAACTAAAGACATCACATGACTCAGAATCAGGTTTTGTAGCACACATCTCTATCAGGCCGACAATGAACCCGGAAAACATGCGACTCTGTTTCCAGTCAAGAGTCGGCATCTGAAATACAATCAGCGTCGTGTATGAGATAAATAAAGACACTGTCGGTTGTCCTGTGAATGTGGCCTGAGACACAAGAGATGCACGATGGAAATTAAGTTCTTAAAATACATGTTCACCAACCTGGAAATTGTGTTGCTGTAAGAGGAGGAACCGGGCTGAGCGCTGTGTTTTTTAGGGGTGACTGTCATCCCTGGACTGACGAAGCAGGCAGGGGTGCCATGGGAGGCCGGGGGAGATGCACTCTCCCCAGAGCTGAGCAAAAGAGATAAACAGACTGTGAGCAACCGAGGCAGAAAGACAAATACTGTGCGAGCACGGGTGTAGATTTCATGTCAACATGGGGAAGCACATATGAAGCATGAAACATGGTTAAGTGTCAAAACAATTTCCAGCATGCGGGTGAATTTTTTGTGGTGTTTCTGCATCAATTTCTGCATCAATTTCTGCATCGACTAATCGATGACTAATCAACTATTAAAATAATTTGTAACTATTTTAGTAGTCGACTATTCGGTTTGAGTCATTTTTCATAGAAAAGTACTATAAAAGTACCCCAAAATACTCTTACTGCAGCTTTTTACGTTCAGATATTGGCAGCTTTACACACTCTCCCATGACAGTGAACTAAAACCCTTTGGCGTGAATACGAAACAAGACATTAGATGACGTAATTTTGGGGTTTGGGCGAGACAGACCAACATTTTTCAACATTTTAACACATTTTTCGATGAAATGATTAGTCGACTAATCGAAGAAATAATCAACAGATTAGTCGACAATGAAAATAATCGTTAGTGGCAGCCCTACTAGAGACCAAATAGCTACTGGATCCCTCCCGTCATAATACAGCTATCTGTGACTAAAACAGAATGTCGGCCATGGGAGTAAAGTTGGGGGGCCTTCCCTACTTCCGGACCACCTCACTCAGACCACGCCAGTCTTCTAATCAGCCTTCATTTTGATCTCAACTACACACCTGTACAGTTTTGTGGCTGCATTTTGCACAGCTGTGACACTATCATGTTGACAAAATCTGTTAATCGACAGACAGACACATAAACACCTGCCAAAACAGCTTCTGTGGTAGTGCCTGCTACAACAGGTGTCACCAGGACCACATTTTGCCATGATGACACACACACACACACACACACACACACACACCACACTCACAAGGTGAAACAATACCAGCTGTTGTGATGTTGCAGCTGGGAAATGCAATCACACCATCATAAAACAATGCAGCTACAAGTCAATACACAAACTATCGCCCAGCCCCACATTAAAAGCAATAAGGATTTGAAGGATTAAGAGTTTATTCCTCTGCAGGAAATGAAAATAGACATACCTTTATTGTTTGTTTCTGGGAGCACTTTGCTGAGTCACAAGCCCTCAAACAGACAGGTTACCTACAAAAGAAAAAGGACTGTAAGTGCAGAGTGCTTTTCATGGTGCTGAATCCAAACAACAGGCGGCTGCTGAACTAATCTAGCCTGTGGAGAGAAAACTGGTTTGGCAGACTGCGACAACACAGCTCAAGTCAGACCAGCTCTCAAGCAAGACACCCATGAAAAGATAGTGCCTGAGAACACAGAGATGTTCTACAAATTACATGATTTATTACAGTGACACAGGTAAAGTAGCTGTTTGCAGATGGGTCAATATATTCTATTCTAGTACAAAGAGACATCACATAACATGTATGTCAACAAGCTTTCGGCTCCTCAAGACTTTCCTCTTGACTCTGTGATGCACCTGTCTGCACAATGGGGTGTAAAAATATTAACTGGCGGCATAATAATCCTGTCACCGACACAACCTTTCACACCTTTCTTTTTGAAATTAAAGTCTTCCTCATTTCTGTTCTTGAATGACATTTAATGTCACTCATCTCTATGTCTGCAGCCAAGAATGACTCACCTTGTTTATTTATACTGCTGCTTATTGTTTTCCGTGTCCTGCAATTTCCTTGTGATACTGGAAACACTATAAAAGGAAAGAAAATTATGTTAAACCAGTGAATAAAACGAGAGAGGAAAATGCAGCAAAAGACTGACAGTAAACGGAACTGGGTGCTAACTGTGACAGAAAGCAGTGTGTGTTGGGGATTTAGTGCAGTGTAGCCCTCAGCGACCCTCCTGGCTGTGTCTCTGAGTATCTGTATGTGTGTACATGATAATGGGCCCTTCAGGGTCAACTAGAGTGATCCATCGTTGTGTGCGAAAGCCTCCACTTGATTTAAAGGCAGCAAATCAGACAGAAGAAGCAAAACAGCTCTGTGCTGTGGGTGGCAACATAAACCATGCTGTATAAATAAACTTGAACCATGCATACAATACGGCCACAATTGCTAAAAACATCCCTTTTTCCCAGCTACTGTTCAAACTTAAGTCTAACTATATCCTAGCAGAAGCTGTTCAAAGTCAGGCACGCCTAAAACATACACACTACTGTTTGACTAAAGGAGTTGGGACACAGTCTCACACAGGAGCTCTCATGTTAGCCTCTGGCTCACCTGTTCAACACACACCGCACATCCTGCAGAACAAGAGCAGAAACCACAATATCAGTGTTTGCAGCACACTGCTTAGAAAGGATTAAAACACCTAATGTTCATGAGGGCTTTAAATGCTGCTAGAAGCGGGTGTCATTCTTTAAAATGAGTGCATTGTTTTTTGATTTATGCACTTGACAAGGACTCTGAAAAAGACAGTAGGTACTGGTAAATAAAAATTGTAGTTACCATTGTCATGCAGGTGGAAGCATGATTTGTTTTTATGTCACTCAGTGAAATAGACTAATTATATTAGTGTACAGCAGCCTTTACAGCTTGGAAAAGACAACATAAATCATGATATAAATTTCAAGGCTTTCTAGGGCCTCACTTTTCAGATCTATTTTTGGATCCCAAAGTAACAGAGTCAAAATGTCCAAATTAATATTAAAATGTACATCAAAAATTCCACATCCTTTTCCCCCACCAACTAGTGCTGAAACAGAAATCACCAGAGAATTACAACTGTGATATTCGAATCATTGCTAAAGTCATTTTTTAAGCAACAAGACGAGGTGTCAACGGCCGTGCTAGCATGCCGTGTCAGCATGCTAACACGTTCACAATGACAATGCTAACCAGGTGCAATGTGTAACGTGATCACTATCCTAGTTTAGTGTGTTAGCATGCCAACATGTTCTAATGAGCACTAAATACAAAGTATAGCTGAGGCTGGCAATGGCACTGGTTTAAAGGTATGTGGTCACAAACCAAAGTAATAAACAAACTAACCAAATGACAGTGCTAGATGAAAGATTAAAGCTGTAGTTGGTAACTTTGATAAAATAACTTTTTGTTAGACTTGCTGAAATTGTCACTAAATCCTGACAGTAGTATATGAGGCAGATAATCTGAGAAAAAAAACTTCCCCTCCTTGTTCTTCGCAAGAATCCACTGCACATGAATGTAAACATCTTATGCTGATCAAGTATGAATCAAGATTCTGTTATTGCACTGCCTTTTTCTCACCTCAAATGTTTTCATAAACATATTTTGGCGTACTGTTTAATAGGGGTGGGAATTTCCAGAGGCCCCACGACATGATTTTATCACGATACCGAAGTCTCGATACAATATTATTGCAAATTTAAATGTCTGGCATAATGCTGAGCACTGCAGTCAAATATTCTGCAATTTATTTCCTTTTTTGAACTGCAAGTCATGTCCCCCTAAGGAAAGCTTTGTCAACATCTGTTTTATCTAATAGGATAAAGTTTTCCATCTGTTCACTTTAGACATGTTTATTGCAGCAAAATGTAACTTTTTTTTATTTTCTATTTAACCTTTGATTAACCAGGAAGTCCCATTGAGATTATGATGTTCTTAAATTCATCAATGGATATAAGTGTTTCTAATTTTAGATCTTTTTTGAAGATTGTTTCAAGATTGTAGGAGGATGCAATTTTTTTCCAAGAGCTGTTAAAACCTGGTATAAATTTAAAAGCAACCACTTGAAAGAGCTTGGCTGATAACTACTAGAGCTGACACACAGAAGGGAGCAGAGGTAGGTCAGACGTTTGCCCAATATTGCTTTATAGATAAAAAATATAATTCAAAAAATAAGAAAACGCTGATACCTTGCATGTGTGTGACGATACAATATTGCCACACAAAAATATTGCAATACAATGCTGTATTGACTTACCCCCGCCCCTAGTGTTTAACTGTAAAAAGAGAAAGTTTCTGACTCAGCCGCCATGTTGGAAATAGTCGAGTGAAAACAAATTACCGCCCACCTGACACAACAAACTCTCATTCTCCTGCTTGTTTTCGTTCAGACCTGGTAGACTATAGCAAATGCCATTAGAAGCACTTCTGTTAGTGACACTGATTATTTGTTTGATGCATTACCATGTCGACGTAGTGACAGTTTCAGCAAATATAACAAAAAGTTACCACACGCTACATTTAAGAACATCCTCAGGATACAAACAAACAGAAACTATACAGCACCACTTTCTTAGACATGTATTTTCCCAGGGGCTTGTATCACATTACTGTCTTTAAAGACTTGTTTCTAAGCCCCATGGTATGTTATTAGCCATATTGTGGTAGTATGGTTCAGCCCCTTGTGAGTGACAGCCACACCTCAAGTGATTCACCCACACTGGGCTGAAAGGGGAACCGAGCAGCATGAAATACAGGTCATTCCCTGCAAGAGACAAAACAAGACCAGCAAGTCTGCCAAGTATCCTGCAGAGGACAGAAAGACAGGGGAAAAATACAGCTTAATGCTGTGTTTGTGGAAAGTAGTTTCACTTAAAAAGACATGGGCTAATCCCTTCAACACCACAACAAGACTATTAAAACAAAGTGAGACTTGCCGATGTCCTGTCGTGACAAGACAAGTGAAACCAGGCCATCAACGGTTAACAGCTGTGAAACTATACCCATTAGCCTGAGGAGGCTGTAAAAGCTGATGGATTCAAAGAAACCAGTGATCCGTGTTGCTCCTGCTCCCAATAAACCCTGGAGGCTGTACTTGTTTCACATCATCACAGAGGGATAATTTGTCAAAAACAGAAACACCAGATGACTGTTAAATCCTTCCTCAGAGCAACAGGTCTTGCTTACACTTTGCATGTTGCCTTCACACCTACCAGCCTTGACACAAAGATTACTCATTAACTTCTAGATACTGTCTGTTTTATTATCTTTAGTGTGCCGTAAATGCATGCCAATGTGTCTCTGTCAGTATCAACAGGCGAATCCTACCCTTACCAAGAGTGACGTGTGTGTGTATGCAATGCAGTGAGAGCCCCAGGTGACCTACAGCACTTCCCAACTGTAAACATTCGAGACTGGCAAGAAATGACTGGTCAGCATCAGGGCCTTCATCCCTCATTTAGGACGCTAACAAAGTTGAGCTCTTTGACTGTCTGATATCCATTTTTGATGAACATTTTCAAATGTACTCTTATAATTTTAGATTTTTATTGGCCAGCTAGTGATTCAGCTCATTTCCAAACAGTATGAACTTTATTTACTAAACTTTTTAATCTTGAATCCCACTGAATATCTACGCTGTGCTACTTTTGATTTATCTTGCATTATCTTTAAATGGTGAGGAACCTAAGTACGGATTCATTTGAGCAGTTTGCTCTGCAACACCACCTAACAACAAAGCAGTTTTGCCATGAGGACATGCAGACTTGACGTTCACTGTGATGGATCACAGCACCCAAGAACATTTGAGGAGTTTGTGGTCATACTGTATGGAAATAACACAAACCAATTGCTGCATGGAACAGTAAAAATACACAAGTTTCTAAAAAACAGCAGCATGGTTTGCAGAACGGTTACCTGTGCTCTACATCAGCAACACCACATGAAACCCCTGGTATGGTATTGGTGAAACATGACATTCCCTAGTTAATCTGAAGGAATTTACATTATATTACATTAACAAAGAGCAGTGCTCATGCTTAGGGGGTCAGCATCCCAGACTGAATTCTATGGTTAGCGATATTACGATATCACCACGATACAATTTCATTGTGATTTTAAATGTTTTGCGAAGTGTTGCAATAACATATATTGGAATATATTTTGATTTATTACCTTTTTTCAAATGTAAATTAAGACAAAAACTTTCTCAACATCTGTTTTTATCTAATAAGATAAAATTTTCAGTCTGTTTATCTCGCGTCAATCATTTTTATTGCAGCACCATGTATCTTGGGGACTGAAAAAGCAAATTATTTTATTATTCTAGTAGGCTACCAGAAGTTTAATTTGTAATTGCAGCAATTATAATTTATATGATTGGCATCCGTGTATCGATACAATATTGCCACACATATCGTGATACTATGCTGCATCGATTTTCCCCCCGTTTCTAATATATACAGTACAGGCCAAAAGTTTGGACACACCTTCTCATTCAATGCTTTTTCTTTATTTTCATGACTATTTACATTGTAGATTCTCACTGAAGGCATCAAAACTATGAATGAACACATGTGGAGTTATGTACTTAACAAAAAAAGGTGAAATAACTGAAAACATGTTTTATATTCTAGTTTCTTCAAAATAGCCACCCTTTGCTCTGATTACTGCTTTGCACACTCTTGGCATTCTCTCCATGAGCTTCAAGAGGTAGTCACCTGAAATGGTTTTCCAACAGTCTTGAAGGAGTTCCCAGAGGTGTTTAGCACTTGTTGGCCCCTTTGCCTTCACTCTGCGGTCCAGCTCACCCCAAACCATCTGGATTGGGTTCAGGTCCGGTGACTGTGGAGGCCAGGTCATCTGCCGCAGCACTCCATCACTCTCCTTCTTGGTCAAATAGCCCTTACACAGCCTGGAGGTGTGTTTGGGGTCATTGTCCTGTTGAAAAATAAATGATCGTCCAACTAAACGCAAACCGGATGGGATGGCATGTCGCTGCAGGATGCTGTGGTAGCCATGCTGGTTCAGTGTGCCTTCAATTTTGAATAAATCCCCAACAGTGTCACCAGCAAAACACCCCCACACCATCACACCTCCTCCTCCATGCTTCACAGTGGGAACCAGGCATGTGGAATCCATCCGTTCACCATTTCTGCGTCTCACAAAGACACGGCGGTTGGAACCAAAGATCTCAAATTTGGACTCATCAGACCAAAGCACAGATTTCCACTGGTCTAATGTCCATTCCTTGTGTTTCTTGGCCCAAACAAATCTCTTCTGCTTGTTGCCTCTCCTTAGCAGTGGTTTCCTAGCAGCTATTTGACCATGAAGGCCTGATTGGCGCAGTCTCCTCTTAACAGTTGTTCTAGAGATGGGTCTGCTGCTAGAACTCTGTGTGGCATTCATCTGGTCTCTGATCTGAGCTGCTGTTAACTTGCGATTTCTGAGGCTGGTGACTCGGATGAACTTATCCTCAGAAGCAGAGGTGACTCTTGGTCTTCCTTTCCTGGGTCGGTCCTCATGTGTGCCAGTTTCGTTGTAGCGCTTGATGGTTTTTGCGACTCCACTTGGGGACACATTTAAAGTTTTTGCAATTTTCCGGACTGACTGACCTTCATTTCTTAAAGTAATGATGGCCACTTGTTTTTCTTTAGTTAGCTGATTGGTTCTTGCCATAATATGAATTTTAACAGTTGTCCAATAGGGCTGTCGGCTGTGTATTAACCTGACTTCTGCACAACACAACTGATGGTCCCAACCCCATTGATAAAGCAAGAAATTCCACTAATTAACCCTGATAAGGCACACCTGTGAAGTGGAAACCATTTCAGGTGACTACCTCTTGAATTTCATTGAGAGAGTGCCAAGAGTGTGCAAAGCAGTAATCAGAGCAAAGGGTGGCTATTTTGAAGAAACTAGAATATAAAACATGTTTTCAGTTATTTCACCTTTTTTTGTTAAGTACATAACTCCACATGTGTTCATTCATAGTTTTGATGCCTTCAGTGAGAATCTACAATGTAAATAGTCGTGAAAATAAAGAAAACGCATTGAATGAGAAGGTGTGTCCAAACTTTTGGCCTGTACTGTATGTAAAAAAAAACTTTGAACCATAGAAAGTTTGGAATATTTTAAATATTACATTTAGAAGTCCTGCCATGCTCTTGAAAAACCTTGCCCTTAAATTCAGATGAATTTGTCTATGAACTTCAGGACGTAAAAACAGGAAGACATGACAGAAAAGGTTCTGAATCACTTCAGACTGAGGCAAAGGTTAAGTACAAACAACAATCATGAAGTGCCCACTGCATAAACTCTTGCGTAATAAGTATTCCTATAACTGTCAACTGCTACATACAGTCACCTAATACTGTCATTGAGAGGTGACACTGAAACCTGTAGGACCAGTTTGTGTTTGTATCAATCATAATTAGTTCTAGTGGAGTAGATGCAGGTTGAGTAGGCATCGTATTAATGCTTTTTTGTAAAGTACACCTGACACTTCAAATCACATTTTCTTTCATTATTTTATAAATTTAAAGTTGCATTAACTTCTCTTGAACTCCTCTTCAAATGACACCTCATGCTCAATATTCCACTTATACATTGATGATTTCAGCTCCTTTCAGTGCTTGAACTTCAACTTCAAAAACTTATTCCAGCACTTCCATTTTACCTGCCATTTCAGCTTGAATGCTGAATGCTGAAATGTTGAAATTTTTAAATTCAACAAGCCCCCAGGAAATGCGACAGGCTTTGAAGCCAATTTTTGTAGTGGCCAAACAGTGGTACTGCAATTTCCGGAGTCGGTAACGTGATGCTACTAGGCCGAAAAATACTTTTTTACAACTGACTTACATTGCAAAAGAGACATCTGAAACTGAAACTCCATACTTTTAAAAGGGTGCCAAACATGTGTATTTCTTTATCTTGCACTTTTAGAAGTCTTGTACTTTCACAATGATTTTAGTGCTAATGTTTGCACCTTTAAATTTCTTGTACCTTTTTAGATGATGTGGGCTTATCGCTGGGGGCATTGTCCTTGTTATGTACCTATCTGTTTGTATTATTTATTCATTTTAATGTTTGTCTTATGGTCCCTTATGTCTTAAATGTGAACTCTCGCAGTCGTTTTGCAATGTGGTATTTTACTGCAAATGGCAGATAAACTGACTATGACATGGATTATGACATTAACTTCTCTTGAACTCCTCTTCAAATGACACCTCATGCTCAATATTCCACTTATACATTGATGATTTCAGCTCCTTTCAGTGCTTGAACTTCAACTTCAAAAACTTATTCCAGCACTTCCATTTTAACTGCCATTTCAGCTTAGTTCAGCAACTGCACTTCGACTGCCACTTCAACTAACTTCAACCTTTTCAAATATTTCATCTGCAAATTTTAAATGAATTTGAAAATGTTTTTGCAAAGGTCCAATTTTATTGAGGCAACTACAGTTTAAATGGTAGGCAGTGTTGGGGAGTAGTAAACTAGTAGTTATTAAACCAGTGATAAAACTTTATTGAGTCTACATTTTGCAGTAGTTTGCTGGAAGTTCAACTACATTCATATCTGCATAGTGCTTCAAGTAGTTCAATTGCTTTTTTGACATTTTTTGTGTAGTCAACTACTGAAAATATAAAAAATACTGGCACATAAGAGGTAAGGGATATTCATTTTACCATTGCTGCTTTACTGTAATTAAACCCCCTTTGACCAGCCCCATCCACTTTATCTTTCATCCGAAATGCTGTTGAGACATGCATAGTAAATGCATTGATCAGACAGAATTTGTAAAACCAAACTTTAGGTATCAATTAGCCAAATGCATGGTTGCAATTTATTAACAAATGCTTTTCTATTTTAGAAGTTACCTGGTTAACTGTGTAATCCTGCTTGGTGCAATGCCCCCACCTGGACTATAGTTTCTGGAAGGCAGGTGTCTGACTGATTACCCTGAAAATCCAGAGTTCTTGTGTGAGCACAATTGAATTTGCTCAGCGAGTCACTCTGGTAACGATACTTATTACCTATGCCCATGAAACTGAGCTGCCCCAATCACATCGGTGTATCTGATATAGGCGGGCCAGAGGTGAGCTAAACAGATGACGTCAGTGCTGCGACGACGAAGTCTGGAATCAGTCAGTAAACATTGCAAGACGGCTACAGATGAACACCAGTTGTTTGAAATGGCTTTGGCTGCTACAGTGAATGACTTAGACTTGGCTTTTTCTCTAAAAGAGGAACAGAAGACGGCGCTCGAGTCTTTCCTTTGCAAGAAGGACGTTTTTGCTGTTTTGCCGACCTGATACGGCAAGAGTCTAATCTACCAGTTAGCTCCGCTGGTAGCTAAGCATACGTCACCCAGTGTATTGTTCTGATTGGTCGTAGTGTTATCCAATTGCGTGCAGTGATATTTTCAAATGCATGCTTGGTGCCACCCCTCGAGTTGGGCCATTTTCATTACTCATGGCCAGACCCTAAATCTTTCTAGATTTGGGTCTGGATTTCCAGGCTACTGACTGATGGGCATTGTATACAAAATTAAAGTTGACATTCCTTGAACTTTTCCATGAATAGTAGGGTATTTTATGTTTTTGATTATGTATGACCTGTTAACAAGAGCACACTTTTTCCCCAATGTGTCTTTTATGGATTATAAAAATTGTCAATTTGATCATTTTTAACAAACTGGTTTGAACTACCTTTTTAAGTAGCTTTAGTTAACCAAATTAGATTTTCTCCCTAAGGTAGGTTAGCTGTACATTAATGTATTTGAGTATGAAGTAATTGGTAGCCTGCAATGCTTTTAAAGTGATTTATCTTACACAACACTGCGGTTAGGCTACATCATAACGCCTTGATTTTTGTTATTTTTCATATTATCCCCATACAACACACTGCTCAATTTCTATTTTTTTTTTTGAGCGTCACAACCCCAGCGAAATGACTCATTTCACTAACATACATTTGGCAAATCTAGCCACAAGATCAAATCATTTTATCCTCATTTAAAATAGCAGGAAGCTACACGTCAGCAGCTCAGCTGGTGGAAGTTGGTTGCTTGGCCCCGCTCAGTGCTGAAAGTCTTGTGTGCTCTACTCTTTGGCCCAATGATGCAGAAGCATTTGAAGCAGTTGAGCACAGTAAGATGAGAGTCTATGGGGATCTAATCTGTTTTGGAGCCGGCCTCAGGTGTCTTTTTGGGGAAGTGCAGTTTTTGGCACTTCTGCATTGGCTTCATTTATCATCCTCAGAAGTTGCCAGAATCACTCACAAGGGCCACTTTTCTACCTGACATATTGTTGCAGAGCCCACTCTCTCTGTGGGCCCCCTCTCCCATGGGCACCACTGCAACCACCCTGCCCGCACTGTCTTAATTTACGCCCCTGGTCCCCACAAATCACATTGTTAAAACACATTATAATCTGTCAGACTTGGTCAAGCCGTTATTTATAAAACAAAAAGTAGGTCTGACGACATTACCATCAGGGTCTGTGTGTTATCCAGCGGAAGGGGAATGTGAGGAATGCCGAGGTGCAAGGTGAGAGTTACTGACCTGGATTCATAACGTTAATGTGCCTGCTGAACAGGTGTCGGATTAAAGCGACAGAAACAGGTGTTTCTTTTTCAGTTTCACTGGATAAAACAAACAGCTGTAAAGTTGAGTGGCGACAGGTGACTACACGTTACCTACCTGCATGTATCCCAACGGTTGCTAATGGCTGGCAAACGGAGGTGTAGCTAATTCACGATACTGTCGGTGATACTGACGGTGACAGCAACTTTAGCTGACAGGACGTTATCTTTAAGTGTTGCCTTAATTGTTTAAAGTCAAAATTAACACCTTTAAAAAAATATATTGTGACGTTTTTCCAGGTTATGTCGAGTTAAAACAGCAAGAAGTCGCCGCTTTAGAAACAAATGCTGTTTAAGTCATCGCGATATCTCCTCTAAAGTCAGTTAACGTGATGTATACTAATATTTTAAACGTTGCCCATCTGCTGTTTCTCAACTTGTTTATCGCCCCCGCCCTGTTCATTTAACCTAAATACTAACAAGCACACTTAAACAACTCAACAAGTTTCCTCTTACCCGGTGTTGAAACACAGCAGCGGCAGCAGCAGCGACAACAACAGACAACTTATTTCCAGGCAAAGGCAGGAGAGGTGAGTAATATCTCTCAACACTTTCCACTGAAAGGCAGAGCCCAGACAGAGAGGATACCTCAGTAGGAACAAGTGCACGAATTAGAAATAATGGAGCTGAGCAGGAGGAGGGTGTCGAAGAAGAAATCCCAGCCTCCTCTGGATGAACCCTCCTTCCCTCTCTAAGCATTGTGGGAAGCGTTTCAGTGCAACACATTCCGCAGGTTCATCCGGCAGCAGGACTGACATCTCCTCAGACTTCTTTAAATTAAAGCAGACATGAGACATGTTTCTACCAGTATGTGACCATGCATGCTCTGCTGTAATATACATTATTGGACTGATTTTTATAGGATGACTTTGCCTGTGAGAAAATTATGACAATGTGACAGAGTCCAGCAGGGTGGAAACCAGTGGGTGTGAAAGCTGAGAGGCTTTTTATTGTGGCAAAAATAACCAGCTTTTCTTTATGTAGGCAGCTGCAGGGAATGCAGGTAAAAGGCCAGCTAGCTTTTGTCAGCAGGGGTGGAGCCAGAAGATGTAAACACCACAGGGTCAGCCCAAACCCAAGGTGGGCCGGGAGGTTTTTCGCCTCAGTCACTACTTCTCCAATCCATTTGAGATAATAAAAAGGCCTTAAAATCTGTACATAATTTAGGAAAAAGATGATATAATTTTGTACCTAATTGTTTTTCATCTTTCTTTATTATTCTGAAACCATAACACAGCAGATGTTGAGGATGACTATTTGTCAGCCCTGCATCTTGTTACTATTTTTAAGTTAACAGATAGGGCAGGAATTTGGCGTGAACAGTATTACTTATCTTAAAATCTATTTATGTTATACAATGCTGGAGTAGAGTCCACAGAATGAATGTTTTTCTGCTACTTTTGAATCCATCCGTCCACCCATCTATCCATTTTCATCCACCTATCCGGGGCTGGATCATGGGGGCACCAGGCTGAGCAAGGTACTCCGGACGTCCCTTTCCCCAGCAACACCTTCCAGCTCCTCCTGGGGGATCCCGAGGCGTTCCCAGGCCAGAAGAGATATTTAATCCCTCCAGCACATTCTGGGTCTACCCCAGACCTCCTACCAGTTGGACATGTCCAGACACCTCTAAAGGGAGGTACCCAGGTGGCATCTTGATCAGATGCCGGAACCACCTACTTCGATGGGAAGAAGCAGCATCTCTGCTCCAAGCTCCCTCCGAATGTCTGAGCTTCTCATCCTATCTCTAAGGTCCAGCTACCCTACAGAGAAAACTAATTTTGGTCGCTTGTATCTATGATCTCATTCTTTCCGTCACTACCATAAATGAGGGCTGGTAGGTGGATGGGCCAGTAAATCAAGTGCTTCTCCTTCACCACACTGGTCCACCACAACCCCTGCATCACTGCTGACGCTGGACCAACACAGAGGATGCAATCCACTGTTTTCCATTGGTATTTGAATCCATATTGTAATAATCTGGGCTGCTCTAACTGCAAATCAAGGATCCCCAACAATGCTAAGTAAATGTGGTCTTCAATACTCTGACTGAATTGAATGAGGAGCCAACGAGAGAACACTCAATTATATCAAGTTCTTGTTGGGAATACCATCGATTTGGGTTTTTGAGAGAACATTCAGGACTGGGCCCCAGAAGACTCTGCACTCGACCCTCACAACACTCTTGCATTTTTTCTGCACAGATTGAATTGGCTTAAGGGTGCGTCTTGGGTAAACTACTAGTCAGTTTTAAAGCTACTATTCTTAGATTATGTTACATAGTTAAACTGGCAGGTTGGTTATAACTGGCTGGTTATTACATACCTGGATTGGTCACTGTACTATGATGATGACTTTTACCTCTCTTACATTGATTATGTTGGCTCAGGGTGTATTTTATGATCTGGATACATCAGAGAAAGTGTTAGAGTCAAACAGATAATGGAAAGCATCTCCAACACGTTTAACTATTGACTGCAGAGGTGGTCAATCAACAGGAAGAAAAAGTCACTATATTAAATGGACCTTGTGGTGAGAATACTTTGTTAACTACTGTTTCCAAACATTTTAATTCAACATGAATGAGGGGTCCTGGAAGTGCTCAGAAAAGTGGACATTTGGACACCTTTAACAGCTGGGTGACTCCACCTGCTGGGGAAGATTGTGTGTTACAACCAAAAGCTCGAGAGCTGCTACAGATATCCCTTTCCCACCAACATGAAACTGGTTCCATTCAAGTTCTAATGTTGAACTGTTCAGAGCATTTCTACCAAAATAAATTGGTTCAGAACCTGAAAAGTTCTCAGTCATCATCAGTGGGCGTGTCATATTCTTCAGGTTGGAGAGAGTGTAGTGGTCTCATTAATAGCTGGTCCATGCTTGTTTTTTGGCTACAATGGATCTGCACAAAACTGGTGGAAATAGTTCAAGAACCAGAACTTATTTGGTGGAAAAGACGGTATGAGCGAATCTTGTGTTGATGATGTTTTGTCCCTCCTACACTTTGATGTAATATGACTGTGTTAATACGGAGCAGTATAGTCATTCAGTTACTTCTCATGTACATAATTTGATTCAGGTTGCATTTAGAGATCCCCAGACAGACTGAGACATGGAAATGAGCCCCCCTGACTTTACTTGGACCAGGACCAGGTGAAACCAGGACCATAGCCAAGATTCTTTAAAGAAGACACCAAGGTCACAGGTCCCCTCCCCAACACAACCTCTCCTCCCTCAAAACAGTTTGACCTAGACAACTGTTCAGTTTTCAGTTTAAGTGTTTAGTCAATTAAAGAAAAGGTTAGTATTTTTATGAGCCTCATGCTGCCGATAGCTGTAGCCGGAGGCATTATATCTGTGGGTTATCCATCCATCTGTCCCATTCTTCTTAAGAAGGTCATGAGGGCGTTTCCTCAATTTGACAGAAACATCTTTGATTCAAGAATGAACTGATTAGAATTTAGTGGTTAAACGTCAAAAGTCAAGGTCATTTTAACTTTACAAGTCTTTGGCCACAACTCAAGAATTTTTTTCTGGCCATTACTCAACATCATATCTCAGGAACAAAAGGGGCAACATTAGCTCGGATACTGAATTGGTGAAACTAATCTTAGGTGTCCATCTTGAAACTGTGCTGTTGGTTTGAAGATGTGTGTGAAGCATCCACAATTTTACAGACATGGATATTACCATTAAGTGCAACTTGACAGATTCACAAAGGCATACAGCAGTGAGGGTATAATTCTAGTTCTAACATTGAAAGTTACTAATGTAAGAGATGTGGGGAAAAAATCAAGTCCTCATTCACAAAAATGCATTTTTAACTTTTAAAGAAGCTTAAACAGTCCGCATTCATTTAGTAATTTTTTTTTTGTATAAAATTCCATGTTTGCATTTCCATTTCTCCACTGCTGCTGAGCCAAAAACATTCTGTCGACACATAGAGAGGACATTTAAAAAAAAAAAATCAGACTGCTGAAGCTTCATGTTAACTTCAGATGGACAGATAGAACGAGGTCTGTGGATTTTTGTCCTTGTCAGAGGAATTATTACAGTGACCAAAAACATCTGTGTCTTTATGTCTCTCTTTATGGGAGACACTTATATACAAGTAGCATAGGTTTAGTGGTGAATACCTGCGTGACTTCATCTTAACTCCCTTTACATGATAGTATTGAAACAATTAACCTTCAAAGCTTTGTTTATCATTAAAAGTTGTATATATTCAACATTGTGCATAAATAAAAAAAATATGGAAAAAGTTTAATGCTTGGCCTTGTAGACTATGACATCACATAGACGGTAGTATGTTTTAATGTTTGCCAGCAGGTGGCATCATTGTACTAAACCTCAAAGACTGGAGGCTGAATTTAATGTCATTATCTGCAAAATATCAGTATGTAAAAAGTAAAATATTCTCCCTCAGTATTTACCTTCATCAAAACTTTTGAGCAACAAACTTAGTGGTTGTGTAAAAAGGATTTCTCTTTGATCTGAAAATATCAATATCTGTATTGGCCTCGATAATGCTATCTCACTCAATGTATGTACATTGTATTTTTGCACGTCTGGCTCTGTCACAAACAAACTCTTACCTCTCCATGCTAAAAGCACAACTTCCTTTTAAATACACACACAACCACCTCAGTGTTCACTGAAATAACACAACACTGTCTGGAAAAACACACATGTACTGAGAGAATGGAAAATAACAGAAGCACTGCGGGAGCCTCCTCGTGAATGCACCTTGCTGCATTATTTACAGCACTATTTTTATTTGATCTTGATATAATGGGCAGACATCTTAAGCTGAAGACGTCAAACACTCCCTTCTCCCGGGCATCGCGTAGCAAAAAGACCAAATGCTGTTGGTTGATCATGAGTCCAAAAAAGCTAATTAGTATGATTTTCTGGATTAGAAAAAATAAACATAGGAGACTAACATGTAAAAACATTTTTCTATGACCGGAAATACCTCAAGAATGACAACAACTATGTACAAAAACATTAACAATATATTTATATATATATATATTTATATATTTTTTTATCTTCTATACCCACTAAAATATACCAAAGAAGCAGCTATTGGTCAATCTGAGGAACTCGTTCACCAACATGTTTCTGAAAAACAGTTTAAATATCCTTCAGCTGTAAGTGTGAAAACTCAAAAAAAAAGAGGAAAGAAGAAATAAAAAGAAAGCAAGACACGTAAATAAATTAAAAAAATATATATAACCCGACATAAGTCCTGTGTTCATCCTGTGTGCCATTTTGGAATACTGCAGAGTGTGAGGAGGTAAGCCACTTCAACCAGCTTCTCCAGTGGATTAGAGTTTGTTCGAGGATGGACCGTCATTGACCATCCGACAGAGTTCCCAAAGTCTTTCATTTTCAGTTCGTCATCCGCTTGCGTACAATGATTCAGACACAGTTTCATGACAACTGATGTAGGCCACAAACAAAATACAAGGGCACTTTTTTTTCTTTCATTTTTTTTTTCCCAAAACGTAGCAACCCGGGGATGAAGCCTCTTGTTGAATTCGGGGACAGGGACACAGTCTGGACTCGGGAAGGGGACAGTGGGTTTAGCAGCCTTCTTGTTTGTCAAGAGTTTGTTTCACAGTTGAATCCATTATCCACCCAGTCTAGCACAAACTTGGCAATTATTTACAGTACATAAACTACAATCATGAACAAAAGAGACGCGGCAAGTTCGTCCTTAAATACAAAAAGAGTCTTCTGGCATCCATACATGGACTTGCTGTAGTGTGTGTTTGTGGTATCTGAGGAGAAAAATAATGTCCTGAGATATGCACTGAGGGGCTCCTGTAGAGAGTGATAAAAGTGTGATCTATATAAAACGACAACAAAAAAACAAAAATATATTTAAATCTATAGCAATGATGTGTTTATGCAGGATGTGTACAGTATGTTAGGAGGGGCTGGACCGTGGTAGGGCCAGTATTCGTCCGTTGGTCTTTCCCCCGTTCATGTGTGTGAAGGGGATGTGGTGCTCCTCGTAACTGCCCCTCAGGCCCATGGAGGAGGCCTCGTCCCTGTCCGAACACTGTTCCCTCTGGGAGTAGGACGACGGGTCCAGCGGGATGCTCTCCATGTTTTCCATGTCCAGGTCAAAGTCTTCAGTCTCAGGCGGCTTGTTCTCCTCGCTGTAGAAGAAGGAGAGCTCCTGGAAGGAAGGATGCAGGTCGTCGCGCAGCATCTCGATGATCTCCTGGAAGGTGGGGCGCATCTTGGGATTGTACTGCCAACACATCTGCATCAGGTTGTGTCTGGGTGAGGATAAAGGGAGAGTGAGATCACGGTGAAATGATACTAATGTCTGAATTTGTGTTTGTTCAGCAAAGGTATTCCTTCCTTTTATTAATGTACTTATTTCTTGTTATAATAGTTTTTTGTCCAGTGTGGTTGAGAATACCTACTTTAATACAACTTCAATATACGTCAACCTTTTTCCTCTCAAATAAGAATCAAATGTGAGAAAGTATTGTATTTAAAACCATTTCTTAATTGATTTTACAGAACAATTACTCTGTCCAGATATATACCATTACAATATTGCCCGTTCCTATCTAAAAGGATACAGCTGGCAATATTCTACATTTTTCTTCATGCCAAAAAACCCCAAGAAAAGAGCAAAACCAACAATTATTCTATCCTACAGTACAAACAAATATTGTTTGTTAGACCAAAGCTCGACACACTTTATTTCTCTGTGCTACAGACCTCCACTGTGGTCCAAGAACTATTAAAAACACACCAATAAGCCACAGTGTTGTACTGGGTGACATGTTCCTTCATTATGATGAAGCTGGGCACTGCAGTTTATTTTGAGTCAATCCCACATGTACACCATCCTGTTGCTGTAAATACTCACTGGAGCACCAAGTGTGCATTAATCCGCAGCTAAAAATATTCCCCTCTTAAAAGCACACTTGTTTTAAATAACATTTGCTACAAACTACAGTGCCCCAGCTGTTTCGGGAAATATTTTGTCTTTTTTTAAAACTGTACATGTGTTAGTCAGCTAGCTTAGTGCCGAGTGCCACAGACAGGTTTGGGACAAACACATTATTGATAAGAAAAACACAGAACATCACCAGCCTCATCCCTTCATACACTAAATATTTATTTTAAGAAGCATTTCATTGCTGGAAAGATGGTCTGTCATAAAACTAGGCTGTCTCTGCAGAAGAAAAATGCAAATACTTTTCAAATGGGTGCTATGTGATCAGAGGAAACAGAGGAAAAAGGCTGTGGCATTTGATTTTGCTTAGGAGGCAGAAATACAGTAACTACCAGAACAGAGTGATGCAGGAATGACATTTTTCTGTAGGCCATTATGAAGTTAGCATCGCGCTGGTTCCCTAAACAAAAAGCCAATGGGATTTTTCCATTTGGATTTTGTTTTATTGCAGTTTATACTTACACATTTTTTTCAGCAAGATTATCTTCACAAATGAACACCATTTTTATAATTTCTGAAGCCTAAATGCGATCGCCATTAGTAAAAATCTAACGTTAGGCTATAAACTAACTACACTACGGTCACATGACTTCATTGCGGCCACCACAATGAGGCTGTAATGCTGTGTGTGTGATGACATTCTGGAGTCTCTTTCAGCCACTTGTTAGAAACCGTCTTTTTAAAGACACATAAAAGCTCACAAATAAGAAGAGAGAATAAACTGACTTGACTCCAGTAGTCTGAAATAATGTGATTATGACAACACAACTCTAACCTCTAACCTCAGCCCTCTAATCTTGTACTCACAGTCTGTCGGCGCAGTTGTCCGGCCGGTCCAGGTAGCCTCCGTCCATGACAAACTTGAGGACCTGCTCGTTGGACAGGCCCTGGTACGGCTGCTCGGCCAGTGTGCTGATCTCCCACAGCACAACCCCAAACGACCTGGCAAACAAGTGGATGAGAGACAACAAGAGAAGCACAGGGAGAATGAGGACATGCCAATTAGACACCTGACAGAGTGAATCTGTCTGTAAACACTTGATGCAGTAACAAGAGTAGACTGAGGGCAGAGGCGTCGGCTGCGATGCTGATAAAAAACGTCAGATGAAAACAGGTTAGCAACACGCTCATGTTCTGATCTTTTAATATTTGATTTAATATTTGTTTACTGTTTGTTATTCTGGTCTGGTTTTATGACCTGCACATTACCGTCATGTCTTTGTCTTGGCTAGAACTCTATTTTAATCAGCGCTAATCTGATGTTAGCTGACTGTTATGTTACATAACTTGCTATCACACAATACATGTGTCCTGTGTTCAGAGTGTACATCAGTTATACATCCATGGTTTTCACAGATTAAAAAAACAGGTTAAGGATTATCCTTTTTCCAACTGTTCTTAGGTCATAAACACAGGAGAGAAGACAATTTAGATCAAACTCAGAAAACAAATCAGTAGGTTTTTTTTCTACTTGCCTCTTAAGAATCCATAAAACGTTAAATCAACTTTTATTTTTTGCTCTATTAAAAATAATCAAGTTTTGTGAATGTCCGTCACGAACCTTGATTTCTTCACATTTACTTCTCCTGTGTAAGATACTACTGAACACCAGCTGTCACTCAGAACAATGTTATGCTATGTACAGCACCTACGGCAACACATAAACCCAAAATCAGAGGTGCCACTGACCAGCAGTCTGAATGTGCAGTGAAGACTCCGTCCTTCAGAGACTCAGGTGCCATCCATCTGACGGGCAGCAGGCCCTTCCCTCCCTTCCTGTAGTAGTCGGTCTCGTAGATGTCTCTGGTCATACCAAAGTCTGGGAGGAAAAAACGATTTTCATTAGTTACAGTCAAACCTACACTGATGTTACTAAGTTTTATATGAGGGGGTTAATACATTTTAATTCATCATTTAAACCCCACGTATTCCCTGTTGCTTCTCAGGTGTGTTTTACCTGCTTTGGTAATACAGATAAAATACAGAATAAATATATATGGGCTTTAATGGCTATGTACAAACTTAAAGCCACTGTGGGGCTGCAAAGATAGGATGGCATTAATGCATCTAGTAAACACAACACACCTCACGTCTAGGGAAACTAAATTGAACTTTAATTAGCTTTATGTGGCGGATTTATTGCTCACCATACAGGCATTGTCAATTATTGATGCAGGAACACAAATGTCTATTAGCATTTTCCTGACAACACAATCACAAACTGCTCTGCACAGGACGAGAAGACAACTAGTGTCAAATCTACAGCAACAATATTAAATTGACCTCTATTTTTAAAATGACTCCTACGTGGGTAAATACTGCTGTCACAGGGACGTAAGTAGCAACATGCATTGTTGTCGAAAACTCTTTATAGCCTGTTGTGATAAAACTTACCTCCTATTTTGACGGTGAGATCGTGAGCCACCATGCAGTTTCTGGCTGCCAGGTCTCTGTGGACAAACTTCTTGGCGTTAAGGTAAGCCATGCCGTCTGCGATCTCAGCGGCCATTTGGATCATCTCCTTCAGAGTGGGTGGTGGACGTCCAGGGTTGTTCTGATGGAAACAAGACATATTTTTAATTTCTGATCTGCCAACTCTCAGCAACCCATATTTTAACACTTAAAAACATCAAAAACAACACTCAGGTTTATTACACCCAAAACTTCATCATCACACTTGACTTGAACTGCTAAGTGGCAGTATCTTTTCAGTCAGTGTGGAGGCCTGCTGTTCATCTCCAAATGAGCCTGCTGCTGACTGTTAAACTCCTCTGTCAACATCAAAGAGTTCAGCCCTCCTATTCAACCCAAGGACCATCTGCATCTTTACACACTTAAATAGAACAACACTTTGCACATACAAGTCATCTGTGCACAAATCAAAAGCAAATTCAATGTGGAATGTATTTTTTTCCAGTGGTAATTGAAAAGGTAAAGTGGTTTGAGTTACTATGATAACACCACACAAACAGATTTATATTAGATCACGGAGTCCCTCATTTAGTTACATTACAATTGGTACTGTTTTAACTGCTGGTTAATATAAACCCAGAAACTGTTCTGTGTTTGTAACTCTGTGGCTAGTCTTGAGCCCAGACAGAAGCTGGAGACCTGCTACGGTTTTACATTGAAATTAAGTTACAATAAGAGCAGCAGAGGATCTTAAGCCCGTTCAGACCAAAGATTCACGACAAGAAGAGTTAAAATGCTGTATCGTCTCCATAGCAATGACTCTCTGTACTTCCATTCTAACTTCAGGCTTTTCAGGTACAAGAACAAGTATGTGTGTGTGTGTGTGACGGACTCAGGCTTGGTGGGGACGAAGTGCTGTTGTCAGCCACAGCAGGGGAACCTACTTATGTTTGTAACTGACTTGGCCAGCTAACTGGCTGTTGAAAGAGGTGATGTGCCTTACGCTCTTAAACCAGCCTGGTGACAACATCAGCCGGCTTCAGTCAAGCTCAGATAGGTCAGTTTATACCAACAAACTTTTCACTGATAAGTTCTACAATGGTTTGTCTCGCTGCGAATCTTTGACTATGTGTGTGTAATCCACTGAGAGTTCAGTAGTCCTGTTTTTATGCTGTTTATTGTGAAAGTAATTCCCCGTGCACAGATAAAAAGAAACCATCAAAAACGTGCATACTGATAAGAAAATGAATCAAAGGACTGAAGCATTGTTTATCTACATAATAAGCAGAAGTGAGAGGAAGAAAAAGACGTACATGGCAGATGATAAGAGCATCTCAAAGTTCACCAAACTTAAGACAAATATGAGTGTCACTCAAACACTTCAGATTGGGTGAGTCTTATAACCTCATTACCTCGGCATCAGGTCGCAGAGAGCGCAGGAAGCTCTTCAGGTCTCCGTGGGTCATCAGCTCCATCACCACCAGGGTGGGCTGGCCTTTAGACACAACACCCAGGAGACGCACCTGGAAGACAAGGATGGGGGTTTTCATTTTAGTATGGTTCAATCACATTATCTGACAGACAACTGGTCTGGTTACAGCAAGGTGACACTGCTGCCCTTAACACAGTGTAATTGACAGGTCAGGTAATGGCACATGATGGGACATTTAATACTTACTGTTCTAGATCAGTACTGTGTCAAATTATTGAGAGTTCAAACATACCGATGGGGTTTATTGAGTCACAGCTATCCAAGCACTGTTAAACATCTTCATTGACCAAAACTAACAACTTGTATAAGGCGTGTTTTGAAAGATGACGTCTCTCCTTACCACATGGTGGCAGCTAAAGGCCTTCATGACCGAGGCTTCGTTCAGGAACTCGATTCTCTCTCTCAGGCTGGCCGACTCGTTCACCGTCTTCACCGCTACGTGCGTTTCCCCCTCGCCCTTGATGATGTCCTTGGCGATGCCCTCGTAGACCATGCCGAAGGAGCCTTGACCCAGTTCCCTCAAAATGTGGATCTTCTCTCTGCCCACCTCCCACTCATCCTCCTCGTACACTGTGAGCACATTTACAGGAGTTTGTTACACACAAATCATAAGAACTTGGATGATGTGATCATGCAGTTCATCCGTCAGATTTCTCCTCTGTTCTCTTTTATCTTTCAAAGACTGGTGTTATGTTACTTTTGTGTTGTAAATGTTAAAATTAAAAATAAATCTGGTTTGTGTTAGTTCGATGCTGCAGCTTGAAGAGATTTTGGACATGTTTTGTCTTTTACAGAGGAAGCACAGTTTTCCTTGCTGAGCCAAATCTTAATTTGTAAAAATCCAGTGTGACTTTGTCAGCTGCACATGCACAAATCATCTGCCATATAAAGAATTCTCCTGAGATAAATATACCTGTCTGAACAGAATTTCTTACAGCAAAATGCATTTTCTTCATTCAAGTTACAGAAATTCTGTTGTTGTGTGTAAAATCTGGGAATAGTCAGATTCCTAAAGAGCATGTAAAGGCATTAAAATCAGACAGTTAAGAGTGATAACATGAACGAATCAATTTTTAGTTCCAATTACCAGTCTTGAAGTGCAAGTAGGGCCTAGTCCTCATGTACACAGGTCTTTCTGAAAACAGGTTTATCCCCTCTTTTGTTCTCAAAAATTTCCAAATGCCAAAACAACAGGAGGAGATATAACCGAAACCCTACAGCAATGCAAAGATGAAAATGATATCCGCCAATTAAAAGCCTGGAAAAAAGCTATTACAGGGAAGGCTACCTGGAGCAATGACCTGACGCCTCTGTAAACCTCTGCATAGTGGATGAGTAGCTGTACATTTATGTGCAAACATATAAAAAGGCCTGTGTTAACAGGACTAGAGTCAATGCAACTTTGGTGACGTCCGCCATTACACTACATGTCGCCTCATTTGTGACACCTCACAAAATAGATAATGACACAAACTTGGAATCCTCAAGCCAAAAACTGTTTTCACTATTGGCACGTCAACACTGTCTTGAGTTTTTACAAAAGATCAGTTTTCAGGGCCCTAAAAAGCAGTTTGTGCGTGGATAAAATGCACAAAAAAGCAAAGTTTTCAAATATACCTGAGTATGTATGGACAAGGCCTTAGTGATAAAGAAAATTTATAAAAGTCTGCATTTAAACATATTAGTGTATAGTGACCATGACAGTAAACAATCTTTGTATATGATATTTAATTTACTATGAGAGACAGCAATGACTGGTGAACAGAGGGTTTACACTGGAGATGTCTTTGCTGGGTGTGTTTTACTGAGAAAGGGCTTTTCATAAACTTTCTTACTGCTGTTTTCATTATCAGCAATCTCTACTGGCATTCAAAACTTGTAGGAGAAAACGTAAGCAGCCCAAGTTAATCAGTCCCAGTTCTTGTAGTCCCCATATAGTACCTCCTTAGCCACTGTACCTTGGATGTGTAGTGTTTGTGTAAAGCACCTTAATCCCTTAAATCAAATCTTACTATAAAAAGTAATCTTATATATTATTGATCAAATGGGTTAAACTCTTGACTTACCGTCATTAGCACTGAGATACTCTGGGTTGGAAGAGGCATAGATGGGACCACTAGGCCCTTGAGTTTGACTGGAAGAAGTAAAAGAAAAGTATTGAACAACACTGAAAAAATATGAATTCATAAGAAAATGAGTGAACATATTGAACAGGATGTGATAATAGCGTACTTCTTCTTAAACATAACAAATCCTGCCACAGCCACAAACAGGAGCAGAATGAAGCAGATGACCGGCCCGATGACGATCTTCACGATGTGGAGAGGATCACCTGTTCAACAAATCCAGCCAGACGGTGAGTCACAGTTCAGGTGAAGGACAACAACAAGCTCTAATGTAACCCACACATTTAACTGCAGCTGGGCTCAATATGAAGATAATCTGCTTCGAGTAAATGCGTAGCATCTTTAGATCCTGGGACAGAGGACTGATATTACTATACTCTGTTCTCATACCAGGCTTCTATGTGCAAGTATTTTGCTTTTCCATACATTAAATCCTTGGAGGAATTTTAAGATTTCTGACAGCAGCTCACACATGAATATGCCCTATAAAATTAAGAAGATAGCAAAATTATAAGGTTAAGTAACAGCAGATTTACAACTACATTTACATGTTTACTTCAAGTGTGAATGCTCCACAGTTTTCAGTTATCATCTGAAACCTGTCCCATTTCAGATAAACAGTTGTGATCGGCGTACTGTATCATTTCCTGTTAGTATAAAATAGTTAAATATGGTGATATTGTGTTGTTCTGGCTAAAACAGTTCACTCTGACTATTAGTATGTGGGACGTACTGTAAAGAATCAGCATGCTGTATATATTTGGAACACAGCTCGAGTCTTTGGCTGGTCTGCCGTCATGGCAGATTGAGACTTACTTGCATCCTGGACGTAGAAGTACGTGGGCTCAGTCCAGGATCCGTTCCCAGCCAGCGAGGTGGCCCGGATCCTCACCGTGTAATTCCCAGGATGCATCACTTTCAGCTTGCAACCACGGGTCACTTTGTACATGTTCCTCGACACGCAGTAGTGCAGCTCCTGCAGGGGAACAACGGTGAAGATCAGAAAGAGCCATCGCATGACAAACGTCTGCTTCATAATTTCCAGGTTTAAAATAAAGTTTTGACTCATTGTATAGGATACTGTATCATGTTATTTATGTTTCCACTGTGGAAACATCTGAGCTGTTTTTTTTAGATTGTTTTCCGCAGCAAACACCAGTCTGCACCATCTGCCAGATGTTTTGTAGTTCTGTCTCCATAGCAACTAAAACACTGTGCTTCTCCATTAAGTTTATCAACTAAATTAGTGAGCGCATAGGGCCAAGTTTCAAAATGCAAGCCAAGTAATGAGTATTGTATCTCTTATTGTCTATGCTGCGTGGTAGTTTTCGGATGGATACATTTAATTTGACTCTCAGTAATATTGTGTTTCATTAGCAGCTCGAGCTGTCGCGTTTAATGAGAAAAGGAAATATAAAAAGTGCTTTCTGAGTAAGAGCGAGTGATTATGTGTTGTGGCAAACTTACAGTGAACTCATGTACTCAGTGACCCAACGACTCAAAACACTAAAGCACTAACAGCATGACAGAGCTGTGTGTGTATGTGTGTGTGTGTGTGTTTCTTCACCTCAGTGTCTCCCAGTCTCTTGTAGTTGACCTCGTACAGGATGATCATACCATTAGGGGCCAGCGGTTCTAACCACATGATGTGCACTGAATTTTCTGTCACCTCGTAAGTGATGGGACCCTCAATGTCATCAGCTTTGTCTGCAGAGAACAAAGTCACATAGTTTCATGAATAATGTCTTTGTTAAAACCCAGGTTTGTTTGGAATAAATGGGAGAAGAGATGGAGGTGAATCCAGTTGCCAGCAAGGGATCAATTTCAAGCCTACACCTTGGACCAGTTAAAGGGGAACTCCACCAGTTTTACATGTCATAGTTTGTTTTCACGTCACAGGGGGTGTAACTGTGAAAAAAGTTGCCTTTGTGGCTTTAGAGCCAGTTGGGTGAAGTCTGATACAACTGTGGCTGAGGGCCAGAAGTTTGACAACTGAAAACAAATCAGAGGGTGTGGAGTTAGAAAGAGGTCAGCTTTCCATAGACCTCTGTAGCCCACTCCTCATTTCTGCTTGAGGCTACGTTAGCCACTACTTGCATGACACACCCGAATAACCAACCAAATTGTCAGTGGTTGTGGTGCATCGTGGGTAATGTAGGAGTCAGGTTTTGACACAGAAGAAGAATGTGTGGAATAAAAAAAGAGGGTATTTCTGGTTCTACTGTGTTGAGTTTGAAAATGTTAGTGCCACGTTAAATCGGTGGACGACTTAAAAACTTACTTAAAGTGACTTAAAAAATTAATTTAATGTAAACCAATGGGCTATCAGTTATGGATGGGATGAGGAGAAAGCCAGGATTGTTACACACAGTTGGTGTTTTGTCACGTACTCATGCAGCATGGCATGGCCTCTGAAGATGCACAGTTTTCTAAGAAATAAGAGTTTTCTAAAAAAGGTTTTCTTTCTTTATCAAGATTGAGCCCACAGGAGGAAAAAACTGTGATAGAGGATGATGAGACACCATAAATTTTAAGAGCCTGAGAGCTGCAGGAGATTCACATCAACAACATCTCCAGGCTGAGGTTGCTGCGACCCTCAATGATGATGATGATGTGATTTTATTAAATAGACCCACTCTTCCCTTCTTAGTCACCGTAACAAAAGAAAGTAGCTCAGTGGGTAGAACACATACTATTAAGGCTAAGACCTTTCTGCAGTGTCCTGGGCCAAGCCTGAACCTGTGCCACTGCAGTAAGGACTTAGCCTTAATAGTATGCAGGGAGAAAAAAAACAACAACAAGCTATCAGTGTCTCCTAACCTTCAGGCATTGTACGGGCGCTGACATACGCTGCCATGCTGCAGCGGGCCGGGTCGGTCGGGTGGTTGCAGGCGTGGACCTCAATCTGGTAGCTGGTGAAGTGTCGCAGGTTTGAGATGACAGTGGACTCCTTTGCGTGGACCGTGACCACCGTCTTGGTGCTTTCAAAGGTTTCCTCATCCTCGGGGATGTCCGTGCCCTGGGGTGGGCTGGGGGCGGTGGTGAGGAAGGGGTGCGTTCTGTTGGCAATGCCCATCACAGAACGCCGCTGTCTTGAGCGTCTGAATAAGGCAAGGCAACAGCAGGAGACATTTAGAGGATAGAAGCAATATTTAAAAGTTCAAAAAATGAAAACAGACCCCTGCTTATGTTTATGGTACAACAAGTCTATATATTATATAGAATATTTTATTTGGAAAATCTGGCATCCTAATTTTACTAAGGACCTGTTGAAACGTTGCAGCATTCTTTGCATTTATTAAATTTTGTTTATTTAATTTAATTAATTTCTTTTAAAAAATATATTATTTTATTCTGTGAAGAGTTACATGATGTTTGTCATACGTGTTTCTTTTTAATGTTTAAAAAATGTGAAACATTCATAATAAAATACAAATCATAAAGAAAGATGAAACAGAATGAAATGCAGGGGGCAGTAGTTGGAGCCACTATCATATAAAGGGTTAAACTGCCAGTACTCTGCTCTGACAACTGCTTGTCGGATGGTCAAGTAGCTTTGGAAATCCCCTGTATTTGGGATTACCCCCCATCTGACAAATTCTGTAACTTTCCAAATCTGACATTCACACCCACTGCACAACATGATTGACCAGCTGTGCGGCGGGGAGAATGGAGCTAGAATTTGAACTTATTTCTGTAGTTCCTTTATTTTCTGTTGCACAACTATTTCTGTCACTTTCAGTGTTTATATCTGAGTGCAACACTACGTCTGAAAATGTGCTCTGTTGGCTCCATATTGAAATCATATCACGTCTTGTCCCTCTCTACAACAGTCTGCTTTTTATTTTGCTGTTTGCAACAACTGTTTTCCGTGCAAGTGATAAGCAGATGGGTCTGAAGGCAAGTTAAGCTGAATCCCAGTACTCCAGTATAATATAACAGGGAAGAATTTAGTGACATTATTTGATTTAGTCCTAATACTCATACTGCTCTTTTATGAGAGGGCTCAGCATGATCCAAATACCAAACACACGATGGTGCATGAGAACTTTAATGTGTTCGGCGGGATGCTAAACTGCAAGATATGTTGAACTGGATTGAGTTTGACAACATGAAGACAAAGAAAAGTCTCTGATGTAAAGCAACTTGACTTAAACCTTGAAACACAATTCTCTCGAGGACAATGTTCATGGATAATAAAGATAGGAAATGCTATGTTTTTTTTTACGTTTAATTCTTGTAAAGAAAATTCTGTTGTCAGTTGTCTTACTTGATCTCAAAGACTTCGTTGTGGAGGTAATTCTCAAAGGTTTTACGGTACTCTGAGTCCTCTTTCTCCTTCTTGAGCTCCTTGTCGGTTTTGGGGCAGGCGCAGCATCGTGTCCCCTGGCCCTGCTCCTCCGTCTGGTTCCACTTCTGCTCCTCGTCACTGTCCACCTGAGTGGGCACTCGTGACGGCAACTTCATCCCTGGTGAAGTGGAGTCACACGGGGCAACCAGAGAGGGAAAAAAAGTCAGAGTGAATGATATGACTGGTGCTATAAACACAGACACATAATTCAGTTTTATGCACAAATACCCATGTACACACTCCTCCCCCCCACATACACACTTATACACACGCCTGAGGGGCATGTCTGTCATTGTCATCCCCAGGTCCTCGCCCTCTCTAGTGGAGATAAATTACCAGTGACACGACCTCCCTGCAGACTCCCATCTCTCCGGATGTGTGGGAGTTATGGGAGTTCAAAGAGGAAAGTTTGGGCTTGGTTGTGCGCTTACATGGAGGGGGCACTGATGGCAGGGCATCTACGTAGGTCAGGCTGCAACAGGAATAACTCAACCAAGATGAATGTCTGAACTTTGTCTGAACCCGAGCCGGAGTGAGAGGAAGATCCTGATTGTCCCATTGCCAGGTTTGATGTTGTTTAAGCTACATAATACTACCAAAACAAATGATTCACCTTAACTGCACTTGATTTTCTTGCTCAGCGGGTTAACAGTAACACACGGTTCATAGGGTTCACTATGATTAAAATGTTCTCAAAGATAAAAATGTTTTACAAACTGCACTCTTCTCTTCATCCTGCTGTAACATCATGAACACAGAGTCTGACATATTGGGCAGCATATTTGGATATTTTTTACCCAGTTTAGATGACTTTAATATTTACATTTTAATTAAAAAAATGACACACTACTCTTTTGGTTATGAAAATTCGGCAAAGGTTTTTACAGCTAATTAAACCCTTGTGAAAAATTAGACCTATTTTACAATCACCAAACTAGCAGAAAAAAGGAGAAAATGAACCAACATTAATCATGTATATATCTCAAAATGTTAACTGTGACATAATACATTTCTTTGTCAATTTTGTGTTTCTCACTCTGCCTTGATTCTGTTTGTGCTCCGTTCGAAAAACCTTTTGCATAAAAACCCAGAGCCTTGTATGCATTCATGGCTTTATACAGATTTCAACGATGCCCCAAAATCTTGGTTAAATGGTCAATTTCCATTGAATCCGCACTTCTCCATGTCATCCGGGGCACAGTGACAGCTAGCTGGCAGACAGTGGATCCTCTGCTCTGAGCATCCCAGCCAAAAACAAAATACTAGAGCTGTTGGTTTCACTATCCTGATCTATGTGACGTTAATGTGAGAGGCATTCAGTTTATTTAGGAAAATTAATGATTTCTAAGATTGATTTAAGACACTTAATACCAATTAAGGCCTTATTTTTAGATTGATGAATCCAATGCCTTTTAAGGCTTTTTAAGGATGTGTGGGAACCCTGAGTGAGATAAAAATCCATCGAGACAATGAGGCTGAGTTTGTTTGTTTTGGCTTTATTGCTTTAAGTCTGTTTGTGGGGTGGTCGTTAAGACTGTGTGCTTTTGTCCAGTCAATGTGAATATAAGGTGGCTTGATATATATTTGGAAACTGTAAATAAAATCTTGATATGAATCACCCATCAAGGTTAATCAAATCACAGAGTGTCCTGGGAGCTGAGTGGAGCAACTTAAAGTAGCCAAGAGCTTTTGAGTGAGAGAAGCTCTTCTGATGAAAAGATGGCACAAGACATTCTTTCGGTCTCTCACTCTCAGACACACAAAACCACCGAAACAGATGCAGACACAACAACGGGACAACCACAAACAATGTGGCTCACCCTTCTGACAGTAGTCAAACTTGTAGAGCTCGCTGGCTTCGGGCTGGCGCTGGCAGAAGACCAGGTAGTGAGTGATGTTGCCGTTGGGGTCATTGGGAGGTTTCCACTTAAGGATGATCTGGGAGGAAGAGTTGGACGAGGAAATGGGGTCCAGTGGGACTGACGGCTCTGTGGAGACATCACAGAAACGCAGAGGTTTAATAAAGAGGGATGGTTATTGTTGTGAAGGGCCTCTTGAAGCATGCTTGTGTTTTTATGCCTGTATTTGTCTCTGGAGGGCAGCTGGTGTCTAAACTGTCACAACAAAAACACTTTATAATGCAGCTGCTGCACAGCAGATTTCCTTGGGACAAATAATGATTTATGTTATGAAACACAAAGCACATAAACAAAACTCATAAATAAGTAGAACTACTGCCTTGCTGTTGTATGCCTCTGTGCATATAAGGGTCAAGTTGCACTTACAGTTTACATCCATATCTGTGAAAACATGGATGCTTCACCCACATCTTCTCCCGGCAGCACAGATCTATACAATCAGCACAGTTTGAAGTTGGTCACCAAAGATTAGTGTCACCAATTGACTGTATTTAACCAAATGTTTCCCCGTCTGTTTCTGAGATATGACATTGAGTAATCGCCAAATGTGTTTTTGCAGAACAGTATCATGCCACAGTGACGTTGACCTTTGACCTTTTCAATATAAAATGTCATAATTTCATCATTTTATCCTGTTAGACATTTGTGTGAAGATTTGTCATACTAAGCGAAAGAGTTACAGCAAAAAAACACGACCACAATATTCTTATCAGTTCAAAGTTGAGTCACAGTAAATGTTTGTGTTAAATTTGAAGAAATTCCCTTCAAGGTGTTCTTGAAATATCATGTTCATAAGAATGGGACGAACGGACAACCTGAAAACACAATGCCTCAGGCCACAGCTATCGCCTGCACGAGTGCACGTAGGCATAAAAATGTTAAAATCTTAAAAATATTTAGAACTTAGGTCCTAATGGGTACATGTACTCACGTCAAATAAATTCATTCCTCTACAGTTACATGAATTAACTGTCAGAGGAAGCACTTAATAACCGACAATGACACTGAACAGCCAGGGGTCTAAACTGTGGCCTAAAATGTTGACAATTTTTTTTAGTGATAAAAACTCTCACAATTTAACGTGACTTGAGAGTAAATAAATATGGTGGACGATGGGAAGAACTAGCTGCTGATTTTGCACTACTTTTTACAAAACAATTACTGAGAAAAAAGAAAAAAATATGGATAAAGTCATGGAGACAGCGTTAATATCAAGCGACAACCTCATCGCGGAAGTGCCAACAACTGCAGTTCCTCTAATGGCCACTTGAGGCCAACTCCAGACGCCAGTAAATCCACAAAAACACAAACGTTAAAATGCCCAACTTTACAGCAGATATAAACATGTTAACAGCCTGGTACAAAATCTGTTTTGGTCTTGATAGCTAATTCCCCCTTCGTGACAACTGTAAGAAGGGTGAGTCTTTATATGACTCACCCATTTACATTTTGTAAGGCTTTAAGTCACGCATAATTAAAAGCAGGGCTGCTTTGAGTGACAGGCTGTCTGCTGATAGCATCCTCGGCTTCTCAGTCAGATCAGTCAACCTAATTTGCATTTCATGTTTCAGTATCACTAATGGAACATACTTACTGGCAGGGCATTGCTCTTTAAACCAACAGCTGCCTGCTCTGGGTCCATGCAGTTTTTGTTTTTGTTTATTGCACTATTTGATGTGGGTGTTTTGCCTTTATACATCTGAGTGATTGAAATGGGTGCTGGATGTTCCAGTTCACACTGAGATGAGTGAATGAAAACCAAAATAAACAAAATACTCATCTTTAGTAGTACTTCCTACACTCTATTTTGTTTATAATTTGTATATTTTTGCTAGATATTTTAATGCCATCTTTTTCTCAGTTTTTGACTTTTCATTGATGTTTATCTTTATTTCAGTTTCAGTTTAATGGAGATTTCCAGTGCTGCCTCTTCTTCAAGTGTTAAGTTATCAAAACATGTTTAGTTTCAGCTTTAGTTTTCAGTCATTTCAGCATGTGTGGTATTTTGTATCTTTCAAAACGTTTGCTGCTAGAAAATATATTTCAGATTATTTCCATTTATTCTTAAACATTTCTTCATTGTTTTATCACTATTGATTCGACATTCTCATTAATATGTAACTAAAATTGCTTTGCTGTGTTTTCTTAACCTTATTTTTCAATGTAGTTTTAGTTTAAATTAATGCTTTATTTATTTTACATCTGTTTTAACTCGTTGACAATGTTTACGTAACATGCTATTTTCCCTCTAGTTCATGAAATAGCTTATTTATTTCAGTATCAAATTAAGACACAGCATGACCGCAGAATAATTTCAAGTTGCAAAACAAACTGCAATGTGACGTATGTTTTCCAATTCTTTATTTGATCCTACTTAGTAAACACAGATTAACAGCGCTAATACAGGGGACATAATGAACATGAATCAGTGTGTGATTTGCAACAACAGGACGTGGACTCTGGCACAAAGTGTTTGTTGCTGGTGAGAAATAAATGGAGCTTAAAATGTATTTGGCAGCTTCATAACCACTGTTTCATGACAGACTGTTTTTTTGTTGCATTATACATCTAAATGTGTTTTATGAGCTTTCATTTGCAACAACGTGGGCAGCTGACAACAAAGTATGTCTACTGTGCTGCAGGTACAAAAACAGGTCACCAGCTTGTGGCATGAACACTGACTGGCATCGCCGTATATCTGATTGTCTAGTGAGCCGTCTTTTCAGGAGATGTATGAATCAGATTTTCGAGTGGGCGGCAAAATAAGACACACTTTTTTTTAATTCTAAAAGTGTCCTGGCCTGAAGTGGAGTTCTGAGAAGACAAATATATCGTTGAACAAAGTGTTGACGTTTGTACTTCATGAGAAAAGTTTGCAAGGAGGAGACTAAATGAGAGGAAGGAGAGGTGCGTGGGAATGTCAGACTGAACCCTAAGGAGGCACAGAGACCCGAGCTTGTGACTGTGTTGTCCCCGTTTCATGACGGTGTAACACACTCGTCCGACTGCATTGTCAGACTACGTTTCACCAGCAACAGCTTATTTGTAATGACAGCTTTGCCCTTCTGACGAGGTATGCTGGTTAGACATGACACAGACCAGGAACCTGGAGCGGTTGCCAGACGGATAGAAAACAACCCTCTCTTGACACGGCTGGCTGACTGAGTGATGAATCTCTGCTGGGAGCCTGTTGCGTGTGAGCAGGGGATGTCATGTTTGATGCGGTTTATCAGGAAGAAAGAGCACATTGTGTAAAAGGAAGCCGGTTAGACGGGCCATCATGACTACAGCGAACTCAAACTGCACACGATGCACACAGTGGGTGGCAGAGTGCAATTAAGTACTGGGGAAGAGATTTATGATAGCTGCGTGACCGCCTGATGCAGACACCTTGCATGAGGTAGCGCCCCTTTGGTTGGTGGCACCCCAGGCAGATCGTGCCATCTGTCTTCCTATTCCCTGTTCTTGTGCCAAGGACATTTTGGCAGCTGCCACACTGACACACACAACACTGAGTCCACTAGTCAATGATAGTAACACTACAAGAAATGTGGATTCAAGACGACCCTAAAAATAGTTCACTCCTAGAACAGGAGATGAAATAGCCGTTTGCCTCTACAGGAACTTAATGACCTGTAACCTGGAGCTTCCCATATTCCAAACTTTTAATAGAGGCTAAAAGGTTTTGGTTTGAGGTTCAACCTTGTGTTTCCACTTTGTTTTACGAGCAAGAATATTTTCAATACTTCAGGGCCAGTTCTCATTTCCATGCTCTGTTTGGTAGGTTGGGCAGCGCAGTGGTGCAGCGGTTAACACTGTTGCCGTGGGTTTCCTCCTGATTCTCCGGCTTCCTCCCACAGTCCAAAGACATGCAGGTTAGGTTAACTGGTGACTCTAAATTGCCTGTAGGTGTGAGCGGGACTGGTTGTCTGTCTCTGTGTGTCTATCTGACAGCACTGTGATAGTCTGACGACCTGTCCAGACTTGAACCCTTTCACCCAGTGTCGGTTGGGATAGGCTCCCAACCAAATACAGTACAGGCCAAAAGTTTGGACACACCTTCTCATTCAATGCGTTTTCTTTATTTTCATGACTATTTACATTGTAGATTCTCACTGAAGGCATCAAAACTATGAATGAACACGTGGAGTTATGTACTTAACAAAAAAAGGTGAAATAACTGAAAACATGTTTTATATTCTAGTTTCTTCAAAATAGCCACCCTTTGCTCTGATTACTGCTTTGCACACTCTTGGCATTCTCTCCATGAGCTTCAAGAGGTAGTCACCTGAAATGGCTTTCCAACAGTCTTGAAGGAGTTCCCAGAGGTGTTTAGCACTTGTTGGCCCCTTTGCCTTCACTCTGCGGTCCAGCTCACCCCAAACCATCTCGATTGGGTTCAGGTCCGGTGACTGTGGAGGCCAGGTCATCTGCCGCAGCACTCCATCACTCTCCTTCTTAGTCAAATAGCCCTTACACAGCCTGGAGGTGTGTTTGGGGTCATTGTCCTGTTGAAAAATAAATGATCGTCCAACTAAACGCAAACCGGATGGGATGGCATGTCGCTGCAGGATGCTGTGGTAGCCATGCTGGTTCAGTGTGCCTTCAATTTTGAATAAATCCCCAACAGTGTCACCAGCAAAACACCCCCACACCATCACACCTCCTCCTCCATGCTTCACAGTGGGAACCAGGCATGTGGAATCCATCCGTTCACCTTTTCTGCATCTCACAAAGACACAGCGGTTGGAACCAAAGATCTCAAATTTGGACTCATCAGACCAAAGCACAGATTTCCACTGGTCTAATGTCCATTCCTTGTGTTTCTTGGCCCAAACAAATCTCTTCTGCTTGTTGCCTCTCCTTAGCAGTGGTTTCCTAGCAGCTATTTGACCATGAAGGCCTGATTCGCGCAGTCTCCTCTTAACAGTTGTTCTAGAGATGGGTCTGCTGCTAGAACTCTGTGTGGCATTCATCTGGTCTCTGATCTGAGCTGCTGTTAACTTGCGATTTCTGAGGCTGGTGACTCGGATGAACTTATCCTCAGAAGCAGAGGTGACTCTTGGTCTTCCTTTCCCGGGTCGGTCCTCATGTGTGCCAGTTTCGTTGTAGCGCTTGATGGTTTTTGCGACTCCACTTGGGGACACATTTAAAGTTTTTGCAATTTTCCGGACTGACTGACCTTCATTTCTTAAAGTAATGATGGCCACTTGTTTTTCTTTAGTTAGCTGATTGGTTCTTGCCATAATATGAATTTTAACAGTTGTCCAATAGGGCTGTCGGCTGTGTATTAACCTGACTTCTGCACAACACAACTGATGGTCCCAACCCCATTGATAAAGCAAGAAATTCCACTAATTAACCCTGATAAGGCACACCTGTGAAGTGGAAACCATTTCAGGTGACTACCTCTTGAAGCTCATGGAGAGAATGCCAAGAGTGTGCAAAGCAGTAATCAGAGCAAAGGGTGGCTATTTTGAAGAAACTAGAATATAAAACATGTTTTCAGTTATTTCACCTTTTTTTGTTAAGTACATAACTCCACATGTGTTCATTCATAGTTTTGATGCCTTCAGTGAAAATCTATAATGTAAATAGTCATGAAAATAAAGAAAACGCATTGAATGAGAAGGTGTGTCCAAACTTTTGGCCTGTACTGTATATATATATATATATATATATATATATATATTTGGTAGGTGAGTGCAGTCGTGGGACAGATGATAAGGGATTAAGTGTGGCAAATATTGATATTATATTTACACGTAATGTACTTTAAAACATCAATATCGATGGATTAATGGAAGGGCTGCTACTTGATTCTCTCTTGAATCAGAAGACGGGGATGTGCAGGGGAATTTTCGTTGCACTGTACTGCTACATACATAATGGGAAACTTCTGTATTTTTCAACCTGGACCCTATTTTCCCACGTTTTTGTGTCTAATTGACTAATGGAGAAGACAATTTTTGGAACTAGTCCAGTATTTTGTGAGAATGCTATAGCTGGCAGCTGCGAAACAGTCCGGGCATGTTCGCACCGTCAATGTATGTCCACTAAAAGTTCTTGGTGGGTTTTTTTCACTAGCAGCTGAGATTGATATTATAAGTGTCTGACAAAGAAATAAAACATTTTTCTATACTTTTCGTTGGTCTGTTTATTATTGTGTGTTACGTGTCTCACTCAAGAAGAAGTCTTGTTCGGAAATCGTGCATTAAGTGACTTGCTTCTAGAAAAACAAGGGTAGAAAGGTTAGTGAGATTTGGAGATAGGAGAGTGCCAGGAAGAGTTGTGTTTCAGTACAGAAAGCGTAACTTAGTGTTATCTAAAAGATTTTCAATGTTATGACTAAACTTTTTGTTTTTTCTTTCGACGATGTGAAAAGTTCAAAACATTTCAAAATGAGACTTCTCCTTGAGTGAGACTTGGTTAAACACAAAAACTAACAGACTGGATCACCAAAAGGTGACGAAAAATGTTTAATTCCTTGTCAGACACAAAAACAGGCACTTTTAGTGAACGTTCACGATGGTTCATTATTGCCCCGAGTGCTTACAATGCAGTTTGTTTCATGACCGCAGGTCTCACTCTCAATATTGGACCAATTTCAGAAATTGTTCTTCCTGACACAAAAACCTTTGAATACAGAGTCCAGGATGAAAAATACCGAAGACTTTAAGACTGAAACATGCTTCTCCGGCCAGCACATCAGCACAGGTGTTTCCTTTATACTTGTGCAAAAATAAAAATAAAATACAGTGTATAAAAATATACAGTATAACTGACAAGACAAAGTCACTATAAAATGTCAGGTATTTTGAATTAGAGTATCACCTGTATACTGAAACTTACTTCCATACAATGTTTTGTGTTTTTGCGAACATTTCCTAGCAGTCATGAATTGCATTTTATGCCCCTGAGAATACCTTGAACTTCTTACTACCACCTCCTGAGAGTCCTAAGGCAGACTGATTGCAAATTCAAAACAACATTGTGTATAAATATTTAATATAGAGATTTTATTAAATCATATAGATTTTTTTTTTTTTTTTACTAAAGAGCCAGTGAACAACACAAATGTAACTCTGTCTTACTGGTGGCGTTTGTGCGAACATAGATGATTTCGCTCTTGGCTCCGTGGACCTGATGCTCGTCAGAGGCTGAGAGCTGGGTTTTCACCATAATGGCGTACTGCGTCCAGGGCTTCAGTGGCAGGATGAGATGACCTGGCTCGAACTGTTCTTTGTCCCCCTCTGTGGCTCGACGCGGAGGGTCCACATCAGCAATCACCCAGCTGTTGGAGCCACAGGCATCCTGCCCGTCAAACTCGGTTACGTTCTGAAAGGGTCTATTGTGGGGGGAATTCAATAACAGTGAATGAATGAAAAACTTGTTATTTTATGTAGGCCTAAATTGTGTTCCAGTTGAGAGAGGATATTCAGTTTGATGTTTTACAGCAATTTATCATTGTCTCTACCTGACTAGTCAGTAAAGGATAGGAGCCTTGCAAAACATCAGAGGCCAGAGAGACCCCCAAAATTATCTGCTTCTTCAAAAGGAAGATATGCCAAGATATCATCCTGATTATATATACACTTTTTCATAAAATCTGATTCATACAAACAAGAACAGACTAATTATCTTTTCAAATGAATTCAAACACAACCCATACAATCTAACTGTAAATTATATGAATGTTTATTTCACTCGTCGTGCCTCACTGAAGCCGACAGGTGACATTAGTTGTCATTATAACGTTACTGCGGGCAGTTGCTTTTTGAATAGACAGCAAACAACCTGATCTTTATACACAAATTTTCCACCTATGGTGTTGAATCTAAAATGTTTTCTCACATTAGCTCTCAGTCAGTCTGGTGTCATGATTTGAAGACACGTCAATTTCAGACATTTATGTTATACAGTATAATATATGATATATTCTATGTTTGCTCTGCAAGTGTTTTAAATGAGTTAGTAAAGCAGGAAATCACATTACCACTATATCAAACTGATCTATATGCCTCTATTCATCTTTATCTTTGAGTACTTAAGCAGCTGAAAACAGTATTTGTCTGGCATAGCTCCAAGTGTGATTGTGAGTGATGGTTGTAGATTCACTTACGCTTCTTTGTAGAGCACCATGAAGCCCAGCAGGTCTCTGAAGTCTGGCGGCCAGAAGGCTTCCCACTTAACCATTATTTTATCACTCATGGTTCGAATCTGGGTAAACTTCAACACATGGTTCTCACCTGAGGGAAGAAAGACAGTCATCAGTTAAAGGCAATAAAAAGTTCAAAGTAAGTTAAGATATTATGTAAATTTTTAAATCTCTGATACAGCGAGATATTAGTCAAGAAACATCTGGATTTGCTGATTTAGTATGAAATATCCCTGATGTGCTGGAGCAGCAGTCCACCTCCACCTACTCAATCATTTTAAGTAGATTAAGTAAAGATAAGACCAGAGATTTAAAAGTCTGACACTGTGGGTCCTCCCTCAGACAAAAGTGAGACAACTGCGCCAAATCTTAGTCCCCTGATCCCGATCTCGGTTACTAGCAAGTGACGTATCCCAAATAATGAAGCATCCCATCCCCCTCCATCTTCTCCTCTTTACTGCCTCTCTTTACTGCCTCTATCTTATGTCAGACTAATAAAAGAGACAAAACAAAAAACAAAAGAGAGACTATCCCCTTGTCTTAATCTATAAGGAAGCACAGTGAACTCATCCCTGCACCATCTCTTAACCTGAATCAAACATGGGGTAAAGCTGGGATAGGCAGTTTTATTTTGGTGTCACTGGGCAAATATCCCATAATAACCTCTCAATATGTTGTAATTCAAGCAGACTGAGGACACACTAGACTTCCGCACGTCCTCTAGACTCTGATTGCAGGCTTTAGAAAATCTAGGCTGGTAAAGGGGACTTTGGCCAATCACAGGTCATGTCAGAGAGAGGGCCTTCCTATTGGCTGTTTTATGAACGCAGATGCATCTGCACTGCTTCTGATGGTGAAAACCTGGTTCGATGACAACAAAATCAAGGAGGACAGACCTATCAAAAAGAAAGTCGAAAAGAGATTGTGACAATAAACAAAATAAAATGAGTTAATATCAGGAAGCATTTCAGAGATAGAGAGAAAAAGTTTCTACTACTGTAGCCTTCTGCTAACTGGAGTCAGCAGCTCACGGCTGCAGCTTCAACTTCATGTTTAAGCAGTGCCTTGTATCACCGTATGTCATCTCAAAGGGATTTACAGGCATGGACCTTCAGTTAGCAGAAAGCTATGACTCCCCGCTAGATCAGGGAACTTTCTGTTGCTTCCTCTACACAGGTTAGACCCAGCACCAGCTCACTGTGACACCCAAAGCTTGGTAGGGTTTGCACTGGATGATTTCGATGTGCTACAACAGCTGACTTAAGTACGGCCTCCAGAGCTACTGCCCACTCTCCTACCAGCGAAGTAGTCCACAGCAGCAGGGAGCGAAACAGCAGGACGCTAGCTACCAAATTTACACTCATTTACAGTCTTATAAACAGAGAGAGAGCGGAACAGGGAGAGGCTGAGTGAACGCACTGCACGCAACTCTACAAAGCCAGTGGTCGTCTGGTGGGAGGGGCTGAGGACAGAGAGGAGAGAGCTGCTGTTTTTACCCCTTTTCCAGAAAACCGCCCACCCCAGCTTTAAGATGTAAGGGACAAAAATAGTACAATACATCTGTCACTGTGTTACCATGTTAACAGTTTTTGGCTCTTTGCTCTGTTGGTTGTTCCCTGTTAATCTGTGTCAGTGATTGGTCTGCTGGAAGACATTTGCAAACATAGAGGAACAGGAAATGACCATTACAACAATAATATGACTATGTTTGCGCCTGTACCAGGGCCAACTCTTATGTTTTCCGTTGCCATAGTAACCTGTGCAACAACTGTCATGTCTTTAGAGCAGAGGTCCTTACATGAAGCCTGGTCTCCATTGGTCTTGGAGGCGATGTCATTCTTGACTTGCCGCTCTTTGGTCCCTGTCACCTCCTCCATCTTGCGAATCTCAGACATGCAGAGTTTGGAGTTGTAGTGGAAAAACATGCGTCCCTGGAGGATGGTCAGCTTGTGTTTGGACCAGTCCCAAAGCTGCCGCAGGTTCTGGTTGTCCAGGGCATAAAATGAATAATTCCTGGAAAAGAACACACAAGATTACATGAAACATATTTCTTTTTTCTTCACGATACAAATGACATTTCATCTGGGGATATCATGAAAGAGAAACCTGAGTAGAGAAGTATTTCAGCATGGTTAGTCTACAATTTGCATCATATGCCTATCCTTTGCCATTTCTACTGTAAGTGTAGCCCATTGTGCTACAAGCGTCTTCCACCTCATCTGAATGAGGCCTCATATATGATTTGGGAACGTCTAACCAAAAACAGTTACCACAGAAAGACATTTTGAAAAGGTCAGTCCTTCCGCTTTTAACTCATAATTACAGGAGGAGGCTCTGACATGGCGAAGATGAGACGAGGCACAGAAGATGGAGTCTCACCCGATTTCCTGTTCCTCTCCACGAATAACACGGAGTTTGCGGAAAAAAGAAAGGGATACGAGGGCGTATGAACGTCGCACTGTCAGGTAGCCAGTGATCTCCTCCAGCTGGCCCAGGCTGGCTTCCAGTTCAGCTGCTATGTTGTCTACAGAAAAACCAAAAGACACAAGCCTTGAAGTCACTTCTGATTCTCCAGCATGCTCAGTACAAAAGCTCCCCGGCAGCTGCGCTTTGGCAACAAACAGTGCTCTGCTGTGTTTTCAATTTTGGTTTCATCTTTTTTCTTTTAAATCAAAGTCTTCTTTTATTTGCAAAATATAAATAATACATTTCCCCTCTTTTGGCTGTGCGGACACGAACATAATTATTTGCAGTCCATTATCAACTTTCATATTTTCATAGCTAAATTTAAAATGCACAGGCATAAAAGTCATTCTTTCGAATAATCTGGAAATCATGCACTGACATTTTTTTCTTTGGACAGAATGATTGGAAATGTGTGTTTTATCTTAATGTGCATGTTCAATGTTTAAAAGATTAAATTAAAATACAGTCTTAAAAAATGCACAAGTGTATATTCTGTCAATCTACACCGAGTTCACTATACTAAGCTCTTATAAAGATGACACGTTTCTTGCATTCTTTAACCCACATAAAGCTCATTACCATCGTGCCAACATACAGAATACTAATATATACCATCTCATTTCCTTTTTGCATTTCAAACTTTATCTTATTCATTTTAAATTTCTGTTGTTGTTTCTTTGTGTGTTCTTTCGATGTAATTTCCTGGTTTGTGCAGCATCATCGTCGCTTTGTTGTTGTTTTCTGTTGGTGTGCTGATACTGTAATCTCTTTCCACCGAACAAACCGCAGATACTCACTTCCTCCACGCAGGTTGATGACCAGGCTCCCGTTGAGAACAGTGCAGCCTCTTAGATCCTGGGCAGCTGTTACAGAGTCCACAGTTTTCAGACCCATACATACCTTGGGACAAAGCCCTGCACATGGAGTGCAGTTGAGGCTGCGGAACAAAGGGGGGAAAAAACCAGATTAGAAAAATATTTCAAGACAGTGTGTGCATGTTAACAGTGTGTGCTATGAATTACATCTTGGAGATATGTTTGGAAGTACATGGCTGTCTCTTTCCACCTTCTTTACGATTCTCTGTAACAGAAATACCAGAACCTTAAACATCTGGCTCTTTAGCTGCTAAATGCTCCACAATGTTCACCAGCTCATAGCTAACTTTGGGCCTGTAGTGCTGGGAAGGTACAGTCTAAAAACTGTTAAAATGAATGGAGGGAAAATCATAGTTTCAATTGTAGCATTGTATGATTTACATTAATCCTTCAATAAGAAAGTTTTAAAATGTAAAAAACAGCTGCCTGTTGCAGCAAAATGCACTGATGAGAGCAGTGAAATTGAACCAAAATAGTTAAGTTGCAGACAAGACAGCAAAACAATTCACACAACAGAGTCAGGGGGGAAAAGCCTCTGTAGATTCATGCAACCTTTTTTAAATTTCATCTATTCTATAATTATTGATTATAGTTGCTTTAAATAAGTTCTTAGCTGCACTGTATACATGACAAAAACACTTAAAGTGAAGCTTTACTCAACTGTTCTTTTGAAATACCCTGAAAATGAACTCACCCCAACCCTTCACCTTAGCAACGGAGTTAAACAACATGGCTTACATAATGTTTTCATAACAGGTCTGTTCTCATAAAGGAGATATGGTCATGGCTTTGTGCGTCAACCATATTAACCTATTTCCTGAAAAAAGCCGTCTGTACAATCCCCACACTCATAGTGTGGCGAGTGCAGACTTTGATGAGGTAAAATCCAAAGTGCGCAGCAACCTCTGCAGCCTCTCAGATTCACACAGCAGGGCGAACAGGTATCTTTAAGCTGAGACAGTGCTGCACAGAACGTTTTTATGAAGGTTTCAAATTGAGGGTTGAAGGCGAGGATTAGACAAATGACAGGGTGTTTACTCTGGCCCATTGTCTTGATTGTGTTCAAAGTATTTTTTGCCGCTGGCTGGTTTATGAGGTGAGAATGCCTTTGTTTAGTAACAGTTGAGTAAGCTGGCAGGACATTTACAGAAGTATGTGGCATTTCTTTTGTGTATGCCAAAACAACAAAGGCTGGTGGCAGCTAAAGTACTACGGATTTCATGGCACTGCACGTCTAGTCTACAAAGCACAAAATCATGGGAAATACAAAGTGGAGGCACGTGTAAATGAGATTAATGACAACTTTCAACAACAAGACAAACTGCCCATGTGACACAAAGGCTCAAAAGCCGAACACAACAGATAAACTAGCGGAAAAGTGCGCCTGTGCCTTGCAAATAAAAGAAGGTTGTGGGCATCGCTTGTTTATCTGGCTCATAACTCTCCTGATCTCTATCTTGACCTTTTTCCCTCTCTAGTGCCACATCTGCACTTTCAGCCTAGACACTCATAACGCCTTGGAGTACACCGCTTATCCACAAAGCACTTTCATTTCCACAGCTTAGTTTGAAGCCAGCGACAGGAGAGAGATGCCAAAAAGAAGAGATGGGCCATAAGGGGAACAGAAAGGGAGCTAAAGTGAAAAGGCTGACATATGAGCACAGCAGGGTTCACCACAGGTCAACTCTAGCCTAGAGGTTTAGATGAGATTGTTGGTCACCTGGCAAGAAGTGCTCAAATCTGCACATTGAGAAGCTCCTTTTGATAAAATCTGGTCACGCACTATTGCAAAGACTTGAGCTGTTAACATGCAAGCTAAACCTGTGCAAAGTATTTACAATACTTCGTATGTTGAGCATATAACAGCACTTGACACTAACAAGCTTTCAGCTGAAATGCACTAGTGTTTTTTGCCCTATTAAGCTTTATTCTAATTTGCCTATATTTATTTGGTCATTACCACAGATTATATTGTTGCAACTTTATGACTGCTGCAAAAACATATCACTGAGGACAATATATCAAAAAATGTTGTTGTACTACAAGATTATCTGTATACAGTATGTCATATCAGAATATCGTTAAGCCTTTTTATAGACCAGAAGGTATGCCATCTAAAAAGGCAATTGATCGACTGATCCCAAATTATGACAAAACACCTTTTAAAAACCTCACGCGGTTTGTATTAATTAAGATTATCTAGGAAAAAAAAACACCAAGGAAAAACATCACAAACCTAAGTAAAAAGTCGATCATTTTTTTGCCGAGTGTCTTTTTATTGTCTGATGAAGAGCTGCACAGCTTGGAACATTTTACTGAAGTGATAATAAATCAAGTTAAATGAAGCTTCTCGGTTCTTGTCACCGTGTCTGCTCAAGACATACGCAAATCTGGATGCGCATGCCTTCCTTTTCTGATTCAAAACTTTGGCTGTGAACCAGAGGTCGACTGCTGGTGGATTTTTAAAGGCCGATATAGTAACAATAATTTGGAGCGGGAAAAGCTGAAAGCTGATTGATCTGCCAATATCAACCCCGACTATGTATGACAATTACTTCTGAATATTTCGTAACTGACATTTTACAGGGATGAAAAAAAAAAAAAAAAAAAAAAAAATCGAATGTAATTTTGGACAAGACACTTTAGAGTAGAGTAATTTTCTTTTTTCAAAATACTCTAAATATTTTCTCAATTATTCATAAAACATATAAAAAGACTAGGTCAAAACCTTGTAGGCCTATTTGGCGGGGCCGTGTATGAAACGCGGGAGGGCTTTTATTTGAAACAAGTGCTTTTAATTTAAAACAGGAAGTTGCATCACTCACTCAGTCATGGACTCACAGACTTTTAGTGCTGTAGTGTGGAACCACTGTTGCAACCAACAACAAAATTCATGTAATTACACGCTAAAATGAAGAACAATACACTCAGACACACGCCCACAGCAGAAGTGACCTGCTTTGATTGGAGCTGTCTACACTGGTCAAGGTCCTTTTTGCGTGATTTAATGCAACCCTGCTCTCTTCAGGAAGGTGATGAATGTCCCCATGTGACTGGTGAAGGTTGTGCAGCCATTGGCCACTATCTGAGCCAAGATCCAACAGTCACAATAGTCTGTAAAATGCCCTTTTAGCGCCGATTCACTGGCCAAACCAATAAATCAGTCAACCTCTAATCTGAACAGTTAAAAGAAAATCAGCAGCACTCTTCTGTCATAACAATGTCTGGGGTGCACCTGAGCAAGGCACTTCACCCTCATCTGCTCCAGTGGAGCTGGATCTTGCTCACAGAGTCCCACTAGAAACCTCTCAGGTGAGAATGTACAGTATGTAACTCCACAAAAGTGAAGCTGCGTGCTGTTTGAACAGAGATTCGGTGCTTGGCAAATCCTCTGTGGATAAATAAAGGTTAAACACACATGACTTTTTCTTGTCATCATTGTTGTCAGTGACAGACTGTCTGGACTACGCTGCTACAGTTGCTTGGCAGAAAAACTCTTTATCTCTCCACAGTCAGCCAAATGAGTCAAGGCCCGGCACCCCTCTCTCCCCTGGTGTTAAAATGCCACCAAGTCAACTACCCAGTCATGCTGTAACAGAAGACAACAAGTCTTGAAAGATCCAGCTGCGTTCTCAACCTCTGTCACAGCAGAATGATTAGAGCTGTCTGCCGGACTGTCTTACAGGCGCGCCCACACTAATCAACAGCCCTGTCACGGTCAATGAAGGTGTCAAACAGGGTGGCGATAAAGGTTACCAGCAGGTCAGGACAAGTACAACGCCCTTCTTTAGAGAAGGAAGTCTGTACAGATGTAGCAACGAAGATACAAGCACAACAAGTAGTAAATTACAGACGTAGGGAAAAGGGAAAAAACACTTCACGTCTAACTGTCTGTGCCTACAGGTCGCACACTGCAATGCAGACACCAGCGGTTGGTAAACAACCATCAATTTAGTGCTGCGAGTGAGCCAAGGGGGAAAAAAAAAAGCAGTGGATGGCTACCGAGTCAAAATCAGAAACATAGATTTGCCAGGTTTCCTACTGTGTTGCACCACTTTGACCCAGCAGCCTGCTGTCTCACATGCACGCAAAAAAGAGGTGTGTGTATGTGTGTGCGTGTGTGTGTGTGTGTACAAATACAGAGTGCTTTCTGAGTTCATCAGGAGGACCTTCAGTTCCTGCACTGTCACAAACACAAACACAGTGACAAGAGTCAAACCAAGGCAGGAAACTTTTTTAAATTTTCCACTGCATTTGTTTACTTATCTTTCTCTCTTTTACATTAGGGTATGTTGCTGTTGTTATTGTTGCTGAGATTTCTGCTGTGGTATTATTCATTTTTATTGGACACCCTTTTAGTATAATTGGCTGTTCTATCAAAGATAGCTGTGTTCGTGAATGTGTGTGTATACATGCAGAATATTAACCCAACTTCACTGATCACACATCGTTCCATTCAACCCATCAAGAGCCCATCAGACCGACATGAGTGTCCACTTACGAGGAGGAGTTGACGGTCGTGTAGCCGGAGGGACACTCAGGGATGCAGGCACCGTTGTGGATGACGTACTCGTGGCAGTCGGGGCTCTTGCTGTGCTCCTTCTCCCGCTTGCATTTGTTGTGGAGATCCTGGCAGAAGGCGAAAGAGACACAGCGCCAGCCCTTGTACGTGAAGTGGTTTTCGGGGCACCGCTCCACACATTTGTCCTCATACTGGAGGCCGCGGCAGGCCACGCAGTGACCGGCTGAGTGAGGCTTCAAGCAGCCACCCAGGCACTGGTCGTGGCAGCACTGGTCGTCCTTGGTGCAGGCTCGATGTTTGCACTGAACAGGGCACACTGCAGGTGAGAGAGTGACAACAGAGTTAGTAAAGCAAAGGTGAGACAAGTTAAAGAAAAAGGTTACTTGGTCAATTCGTAATATGTAAAGTTTTTAATGTGTGCTGCAGGAAGAGAGTCACAGGAAACAGAAACTGATCAGCATTCAAACACCCACGCAATATTTCACTTCCCCAATGTGACTGGGGTGATTTTAATCTTTAATGACTGTATATCTTTATATCTCCAACTCCACAGATATCTCTCATGGTCACAGTGAAATCCCTCGTCACTGAAAGAGCCAGCAGCCCAGAGGACCATCTGTCACTGGCCAACAAGCATGTTGAATACAAACAGTGGGGATCCAACACTAGCTGACAAAGGACAGACACTTCTACAGAAGGTTGGGTGAAAGTGAGACGGGAGGGGGGACTGGCATTCAAGCATTAAGTATTTTGTAAGTGAGACACGTGCAAGATGTCTTTGCTGGGTTTCTCTTGCACTCGTCCACAGGCTCTTAAGCGCATTTCATGTGTGAATGTACGACTATAAAATGTTGTTAATGTAAATGTCACTTCCTTTTTTGTGCTGTGAAGGGTTTGTTTAAAAATAAAAAAATCTTGTAGCACCCTTAGCCTGTCAACTATGGAACTACTCACTATGATTGATGTAGATATATCACAACATCTGTTCAGATAAGGCAAATCACACATCAAGCGTCAGGTTGACTCGTGCTGAAAACCATTGCTCAATTAACTGACAGACAGAAAATTAATAAGCAATGAATGTGTCAGTGGATTTATCATTCATCAAGCAAAAAATGGCAAAAAGTCACTGGTTCCAGTTTCATGAAATTGCACTTCTCTGTATTACATAATGAAAAATTCAATACTTTTAGGTTTTGGATTCTAAAGCCAGCCTTACGCCAAATGACTTTTCAAGCATTTTCACTGTTGCAGACAAATTTTCAGTGTCTGAATAAAGTCCTGAGAGTTCTACCTCAGTTGGTGAGTGCTCCTGTGATCGCGATCATTTGGTGTAAGTTGGTCGTAAAACTCTTAATTCTGTCTTTTTCTTGTCTTGATGTTCTGACAAAATCAAGCATGTTCAATTTATCATACATTTTTAGACCTGTATCATGCAAGTACTGGTGTTCAGTGACTTTAAAATTGTCCACAACCAATAGCTGTGCTCTCTTAGCACCATACAAGACGCAACAAACCAGACAGACAGTAGACACTGAGGGGAATTCTGAGAGGCGCAAGAACGTGAACAAGTCTCAGGTCTCTTGTATGGTGGTAAAGGAGGAGAAAGTTGTTAGTAGTTGTGGAGTGAATAAGAGTCAGTGTTGAATTCGGTGTGTATCTGATCTGATTTATCCCTCATTCCCATGATTTCCTTACACTAAGAAGGTAACTAACAAAGGCTGGCAGTGAGTTGAGGCAAAAGAAACCAATATGTAAGGTTTCTACACAAATACAGTCTCTTTATGGATTATATAGATGCTAAATTGACAAATATCCAAATTGTTCCTAGAGTCATGTGTTTTTGCAGGCAAGCTGTACATCATATTTCTTAAAGGGTGTTTGGCGTAATATTTTCCACTGGAACAGGATGGAAATAATTTCAAAAGGAATCTAGTCTAGTAATAGTTTAATAGTGACTCTGCAGGATCCCTAGTGTTTGCAAAATCTTTTAGTCTGTGACTAAAAAGTCACATCATCTCTTTTGTGAGAGGGTGTCAGACTTAAGACTTTTTAAAGTCTTTTCAAAGTCTTCTGGTGCATGGTAAGTGTTAGCTGGACAAGACAAGGCAGATGAAGTTGTCACTTTGGGTTCTGGGCAAGTGTGATGAACAGTTTTCATTATTTTATGTCACTTAAAAGTTGAAAGATTAATGGAGGAAGCACTACAATGGCACCTGATAAGTATTGATGCATCGCTGAGCCCTTGGCCATAGTAAAAACAAGCCCCAAATCATCTATAGTAGGCGAACAAAACCAATGCACAGGCCTCTTTCTAGCAGCAGGACCTACACAGGCTTTCTGTGAGCAGGTAGAAGAAATAAACACTGACAGAAAGATACAGTGTCCTGACAGTCGCACAAACACATGCTGATGTTCAGAGATGTTTTTTGGGGCGTAAACACGATCATCTAAGGACAGAGACAAGTCTGTAGGCTGGCTGTTTGTGCATACGTCTGCATGTGTGTGTGTGTGCCTGTAAATCAGCCCGTTTCATAACATTCGACTCTCAGGATTGGCAGATGTGGGTGTGTGAGTACATGCACCGCAGTTGGTGTGTGTGTGTGTTGTTATCTCAGCGTAGGTGTGAGGACAAGTGTGCAAGGATGGATGGAGGCTTCTCAGAGGTAAATACAGCTGACTGACCTGCCTGCTGAGATTAGCTTCTCATCCACAAGAGCCACATTAAGACTGTTGGACAGCAGGGGAGATAATGAGTCTCTTAGGTTAGGGGCAGGTTACAGGTCAGACCGTAAAGTATGTGTGTCTTTTACGGGTCTGGACTAATATTGAGTCACAAAACTAAGAAGGGAGAGTTGGGTGATGCAATTCCCATTACAGGAGCAATTTATCTCAATAGTCTGTTCCTCTTAACTAGCTTTCTATTGTTGAGCAAATGTCCAAAAAACTGCTTGGTTTCATTAGTGTCACGAGGTCAGCCCTTAAATGAACAAAACATGGACACCCTGTCCTCTTACATTCTCAGAGGTAAGCTCTTGAAGCTCATGAAGAGCGTGTGTTTGGGGCGGGCAGCAGCAACATGAGAATGGCAGTGTGAGGGGGGAAGCTAAAGGGGGCATGGTGCTAGGAAAACAAATGATATAACCACCTTTTATCTACGTCAGCCTGTCCGTCTAAATAATCTATTCTGCCGTGGGATTTACAAAGAGCACTGATGATGATTTCCACACTGACGAGCAAAAATGTCCTCTTGGTACTATGTTTTCCTGATAGTTTATTTCAAAACTGCCCTTAAACTTCCCCTCAAATGTATGTACGCACATGCACTCGCACACATACACACACACATATACACAAAAGCTCTGCTGTCTGCTCACACTGACTCCTGATCCTCCAGCTGGGCTCCATGTCGCAGCACAGGCCCAGCAGCAGATCCACCCTCAGCCTTAGCCAATGTGTTGGCTAGCTGTAGAAGCTAGCCATTCAAATGGCCTCTCCCATCTCCAAGGAAGACAGGCACAGTTTAACCCTTTGTGTCCCTCTCTCTTCCCTCCCAGCCAGTCAGACAGCAGTAGTAGCAATGGGAGGTATGCAAAGAAATTACGCGAGAGCCACATAGTAACAGGCTGGAACTGCTCTGCTCTGCTCTTTATGTCTTCTCACTACCACAAATCGGCTGCTCTTCTACCAATCTAAAGCACAACTGGTTCTTATTAAGTACTTCTGATTTCTTTTTTCTTTTCTGTCATGCACATAAATCTTGTCAGTGGGAAAAACACAGTGCTCCGGGACAATCTCTCTATTCTTTCAATTCCTTGTTGAGAGAAACGTGGTGCAGTAGCGAATGGGTTCAAACTCGTGCGCATGTTAGTTTTGTGCCAAGCAGCTCAGTGCCTCGGGTGATGCATTGTGTCTTGTCTGTCACGTCCACAACTTAGGAGTTTTTACAGACTTCAACAGCCTGGGAACTGAAAAATCTCCATCCAGACTGAAATATCTGTTCAAAACAAAATCAATCCTCCTTCAACAAACTGACAGCCATAAGCTAAAGATAAAGATTTCCACTTTTTGTTTGTATTTTTTGACCAATCCAGAACATTTTTGAATGATGTACGGTTACTGCTGTCTGGTGTTTGAATGAGATCCATTAAATGTTGCAGCATGTTGCAATGTTGAAATTATAATTCAGTAATAAAGTTGACTTCCAATGAAGACAAACCACACAGTCTTGATACAAAACACTGCATAAAAGCTGAAACAATCAGGCCATTAACTGATTAGTTGATTGACGTACAAATTAATCAGTGACAACGCTCACAATCTTTTATGCATTTCTGGTGTATAATAATCAAACATCTCAAATAATTATTGGTTCCAGCTTCTCAAATTTGAATATTTGCTTCTTTTTAAATTATATATTATGTAATAATATTAAATAAAATATCTCTGGGTTTTGGTTGGACAAAACAAGAAGAGTTAATCTTGAACTCTCAGACCTTGTGATGGGCGTTTTTCAATTTTTTGATATTTCTTCAACTAAACAATTTTGAAGACTCATCAGAAAATATATGATCAGATTAGTGGATAATATTATTTTTTAATCTGCAGCTCTACATTGTTTCTTCTTTAGGTTTAAATTAAAGTTGAAACGACTGGTCAGTTAATCGATTGGTCAACAGACAAGAAAATTTGTTGGTAACTATTTTGATAATCAGTTAATCACTTTAGTTGTATGAGTATGAATGTCAAACTTAATCTGGTCCCAGCTTCTCCAACATGAGGATTTACTGCTTTTCTATGTGTATATAATTTTAAATAGATCGATTTTGAACTTGCTGGTTGGACAAAACATTCAAAGACATTCTCAGAAGTTGTGATGGCCATTTTTCTTTTTGTTTGTTTGACATTTCAATTGAGTAGATTATAACTAATGATGAAAATACTTGCAGGGCTGCACAAAATATTTTTTATTGTCATCGCAATGTCAACTTGCGCAATAAACACATTGCGAAAGACTGCAATGTTGCACTAAGGCATTTTGTGAGTGAGATGAAAGAGTATCGCTAAAAAAATGGACTAATTTAACTATCATTCGTTTTTTTTTAATTGGTGCCCTTTTTAAGTTCAGTGTTTAACTTGTTTGATCAAAGAAGGTTTAAAATTTTTGCCTCTTTCATTGCTTTAATTTAACAAGCACGTGTATTTTAGCAGTACACTGAAAACTGAGTACACTTTAATATCTGTTTATTTATCATCAGTAATCTCTTTATTGTTATTGCATATTGTATATTTTACCTATATTGTGCAGCCCTAAAT